AACTCTGGCACAGATTTTCCTTTTATCTGGCCGTGTGTCTGTGTTGCGCGGTTGTCCGGGACGCAGTTGGACATTGTCACACCAGGACTGTTATAATCATCACGCGGATGTGCCTGCTGAGGTGTGACCTTCTTCCCAGCGTGTCGTCTAGTCTGTGATGAGCTCTGTGGACACATGTACAGGCTGTCTGGCAAGCATCGTGATGGTGTGTTTAGCGCTGCAGACGGATGGAATGCTGGACCAATTCACGTCCGCGAGCCTTCCTGCCCAACGCCTGCACTCAGTGACTGGCATGCTCTGGAGGATCACAGCGTGAAATGTCACAACAATCCAGGAGTGTGTTGTGTCCGAAACACATTTCGGCCTTGAACAAGACTGGCACCCGTGTGTCCTTCTGGACTTCTCGTCACTCAGTGCTCCTCATTCGGTCTGTACCCGGTGTACGTACGACTGCATGTACACGACTCCATTGTTAAATCTCCACTAATATTTATCCAGCTGTGACTGTCGTTGAGAAATTACGAGTGGACGCGATTGTGTTGAGATCCTCGATCACCAGAGCGCATCAGGGGGCAATCGATAATAGGGCTAACATGAAAATCAGGCCGTCATCTGCACTCGAATCCTGGCTTCCGAATGCTGGCTTCCGGATTGAGCGAATATCCCCACGAAGAGGGGGCTTGCATTGTTCTCCATATTGGGCGATAGCGTAAGAGCACGACGGAATGGAAGTTATACGTGCTCAGGACACTCCGACAGGAATCCCGGCCAATGATGGTTGAAATACTGCCAGTGCTGCAAGTACTCTTCAAAGTCGTCAAAACTGTCAAAAATTATTAATTGTAGCCCGCAGAGGTCAGGTGCGAATGCAGTGGACGGAGAAAATGTGTCAACGTCCTTAACCCCCGCTGGACCAGTGCATAACAAAGCATTCCTTTCCTAAGCTGCCACTTCTTGTGAATATCACATCTTACGGCGATAATAACTTGGCCTAGTTCTGGGCAGCATAGTCGTCCGTGCGCATGTGTGTGCGCGTGTGTTTGTGTGTGTGTTCGTATGCGTGCGATCACGCGTGTATGCGTGTGTGGATAGATTAGACGTTGGCTGCTGCCGGTCAACCGGTCTTGGGTCATTTCAGCGCTCTGTGGTCACACCGATTCTTCTTTCTAAATCAGTTTCCTTTGTTCCCGTTGTGCGTGTAATTACCATGGACTGCTGCCACTAGTGCAGTGGTTACTTCGAAGTACGTTCAAGGTAGCAGCCCTGCTTAGAAAACAGAACTCTAGGCGCCGATTCAGCTCAACACAGATAATACTCTGTTGAACAAGAGAGAGAATGTCGCTAATCAGTACTAACGACCAATGCTGCATTGTTCCCTCCTGTGCAATGATCTCTGACTCTCTGCCATGTGCGCCACGCCCGCCTGTGCTGTGCCCAAGTGTCTTGTCACGGCTCTTGAACTGCACTTTGCACCAGCCAAGTGCTGCTGCAAGGGTCCAGCTTTTTGGGACGCTCCATCACCGTGATCACTGTTCCCCCACCTTGCATCTCTACATTGCTTTCAATGCATCTGCTGAGTCCGAGGCATCCTGACTAACTCCATCCACAGTACAATGAAGGCACTGCAAATGTGCAATCATGCTCGCTGGCCACTTTGCTCTGCATAGCGATCATTTCATTGCACGACACCGATCTGACAGCAGCGTCTAAACTGGGACCAGCTCTACTGCGCCCTATTGAGTTTGAACAAAGTGATCGTGGTAACAAATTCAATCACTCCGGGCCCGCTTTCCGGGACTAGCCACTAACCCCCGGTGTCCAGTTCACAGTCTTGCTCTTGTGATCACGTGGCTTGACATGCCAGGTCCCAAACAAAAAAAAAGAAGTTTGAGAATCTGCCGGTGGAATCATGCATTGTTGTGTGCTTGGCACTTTTTTCTGCTGCATGTCTTGTGAATCAATGGAGGTGCTTGGGGGACTCGGGAGGGCCAGTCGATCGGTTGTTTCCTGCACGGTCCTCTTTCCCGCAACACCCGTGATCTGGCCTGGCCCGTAGAACGAAGAATTCAATGGTAGGACACACCCAAGTCATTAGCGTAAGAGGCTGTGACTGTGACCGTACATGATACGCAGGCATCACGACATCACTGTAGAACACAGTACCAGATTCTTCTTTTGCAATACGTGTAGTGTAGTGCCAGCTATGAGGAAAACGATCAAAGTCACCATTCCTCATCGCGCTTGCACTTGCAGCAATAACTAAAGGGCACAAACAAGTGAAGTGCTTGGAAGCAGCGATTACGTGACTGCAGCCCTGCAATGTCCACCGGACATTCAGGTAGTCATCTGGTTTTAGTGGCTGTACACAATGCACGCGCGCGACTCGTTTTATTGCCACGCTGGTGCTGAAATCGAAGACAAGACGAAACGAATGCTGTGATCATGCACAGAGTAATGTGTAAATAATTAGAAAACCTCCTCTGCCTCTCCGTAGTGTCAACCGCAAAGATCATGAACTGTCATGATTCCACTGGTGGGACCTGTGTAGGCTGTGGTCCCCATCAAGATACTAGTATAATGATTGTAGACTCTACATGTGAAGAAATAGTTGAAGTTCGGGCCGCAGAAGCTTGAACTGGATTGCTTTGAACGCCGCTGACACGCTGGCGAAATCAATTGCCTGATTGACCTGAGCAAGTGTGTTGGCTGTCTCGCAGCAATCTCTCTCATTCCGTCATTCCTACACAGTGACCTACTTTCACGGGTTCCTGTTGCAGGCTGTCCGGCTGTGTTACCCAGCACGAACTACCGCCCTTGGGGTGCACAAGGTGCTACACTGGATACATTGACGTTGATAATTGGACAAAGGCTGAGGATGGCATGCTGAAGCTTGCCTAGCATCGTGTGCCACAGTATCGCTTTGACACTCGACTCCATCTGTGAATTCTTCTGGTCAACATGGCCTCAAGACTAGCATTCACTTGCCCTTCTTTCTTCTGATTAGCAGTCAGTTTCGCGGTGGTACGTTGCTTTTACGATCCGCACTGAGTCTGTAGCAGCTGCAGGTGCTACCAAGAGTACATAACCCTGGGATTATGTACTCTTGGTGCTACTAAACACACCCATTGCTATAAACGTTTAGTGTAGTAGTGTCACTGAACCATGCTACATGTAAATGAACTTCTCGCACAAGCGCTGCCATTCTAATCTCCAAAGCCATGCGTTCAGTCATACGGCCGTGATGATTCGTGGCACTTACATCAACCTTGGCCTTAGGCTGAGCTGGGCAGTGGCAGAGATAGATCCAACCTGGCTCAGGTGTTCAGGGTGGATGCGAAATTTGAGATGTCCCTATTACTAGTATAAAAGATCGCCTTTATGAACATAGATTATTGTTCACAAGTACCAGTGTTAGTTGACAGGAAAACCTGAGTGCGCTCGACACTCGATACCGGACACAATAACGGTGAGGGATAACGACCTTCACTTTCGGCCTTGGCAAAATTGGATGATATTGCTTTGCACTTCACAGTCTCCAGTCGCCTCGTGAGTGCGATGTTCTAACGATGCACAGAGGGGCCTAGAGATACATAGATGCTTGGAGATCTATTGAGTATCAGAGTGTCATCCAGGATCAGGTGGATCACCTTGCAAAGGTCCTTTTAAATTACTAGTAAAGGGCTTATGCCTGGGTGTGTTGGAAAACATCATCATTGAGTGGAACCCAGTCAGCGGCAGTGCACAGGTACTCGTACCCTCCCTGCCCTGAGCAGTTTCAGATGATGCTCAGAGACGCAACAATGAACGACAATCAGCACATCATCCTGCTGACCTTCGCCTACCAGTACCACCAAAAGTACACAATCATAAATTTAATGATAATGGATCCTTGATACCATAATATTATGTCCACCACTTTCTGGTTGATACCATCTAGCCGGAAATAATGATCAAGTTCAACCAAAGCTGATCGTGATGACTCAGCCGGGAATAAAAAGTTAAAAACCTATGATCATACTGGCAAAGTTGATCTTTTCCAGTCTGCCACCAGCTAAAACTACCCGCTGTAGTAGTGCATAATGTAGTCATGGTAGTCATGTATTGTTGTCCACACATAAATACTGTGTACTGCTGGCCTGAGTACGAAGACATTCAGCAACAGGCCTGGGGTGTCTTGAGAGGCTGTCAGACGATAGACACAGAAATGCAAATTGTCCGAGTTTTGTGCACGTCTCCTACAGAACTCATGATCATCAAGTAAATAACTACCAAGCACAACAACGCAGAAGACACTCGTATAAATTATATTACGCGAATTCCGTAGACTCCGGATTTGGAAGTCGACTAAATACTGACAAATTGTGTGTGCTCCTCAACCTTATCTAATCATCTGGGTGCAGCCCAGAATTATTATAACTACCAATACAGCATACAGCATACAATACAGCATTGGGTAACTACAAACAGTGCATTGGTCCTGATGGATTACATAATAAGCAGTAGATATTGTTCCATGCCTGGCTGTATGCTAGTACGTGTATGTCAGAGCTAGCCATTGATGTACAGTTCAAGTATAATACCAGCACCACTGTGTATTTTAAAAAGCTTAGCTTGTGACAAAATTTTGAAGGACGCTTCACGCAGCTTCATTATACTTGAATTGTTTGCAGGCAACCTGCCTACACTCAAGAGAGCACTGCATTTCACACAAATCCATTGGTATCGTTACAACGTTTCGGTCTTTATGACCATCATCAGGAATGAAGTGGACATGGAAAGAACAGCAGTATAAAAGAAGGAGGCAACTAAGCTTGTGAGTTTACTTTTTCCTTATTACAGCTTCTCCTCCCTGACCTTGTTACTGTCATCACCGGCATACCTACTCTAGTGCTTGTACTGATCATACATGTGTGTTCCTGTGTTTCTGTATGCGTCTGCCCATGCTGCATGTGCATGTGGGTCTGTGGTCTGTGCATGCCCTCCGTGGATTCTGCATGCAGGTACCTCCACACCATTCTACCTGGTTGAGCAAGGCTATGACTCTCAGCTTGCACGGTCGGGTATCCTGCAGTATCTAGATCCCCTGCAGCCGGAGAGGTCCCAGCTGACATTCGAATGGAGCTCCAAGAAGCCCGTAAGGCTTATAAGTATTGATTTGGTCTTTAGGAGGTACAACTTGATATGCCAGAAACTCAGTCTTGGAGCCCAAAATTCAATGCCCAGTGGCACAAACAGGTCCTCTGCGAAAAAAGAATCGATTACAACGTGTCAGGTTTTGCTTTTCACTGCCGTGTTCACATCTTGATTGCATACAAAGTCAGAAAACACCAAGCCCTGGCTTGTGTTAGCAGAACTGCAGGGACTGCTTGTGTTTAATGAAATATGGCCGTAAGATTGGTGTTGACACGCACACATTTGACACTGGCATGTGTCACTTGGGCATGCATTGAGAGTGCTCTCTGCAGGTGGCTCAAGCGAAATGTAGGATAAAGACTGTCAGCATACGTAGCCAGACTGTCTGGCACCCAAAACACACACACAGGCACACACACACACACACACACACACACACACACACACACAGGTACACACACACACACACACACACACACACACACACACACGCACACAAATACCCCCACACGCAACTGCACAAGTAGGAGTTGCACTCCATGTTCTGTGGATCAGCCGCAATACGGTGATTTTCATGACAAAATTCACCGTGGTACGCATTAACCTGAGCAATGCGGTAATACAGAGTTGTTCAGATGAGGTAGTTCAGACTTACAGGAACTTGTGAATATGAGCGATTCACGCCTTACACCCGGCATACCACTAATAACGATTGTGAGTGCATTGAGACTACAAGTCATATTCTAGGAGATAGTTGCTCTCTAACTAACAAGCCACGAGTATGAAGATAAGTAGTCCAAGTTGCAACTAAAGTTTCCTACGGAAGTAATAATCAGTCAGCAGGCAAGCATACCACACGTATCCGCAATTACTTACCTCACCCCGAGCCGTGACAGGCCTGATTGAGATAGTATCCTGTGGAAGCATAGCCAACATTCGGGAAGGGCGCCAGGGAATTTAGGTAGAGGATTGCCCAGGGGAAAGGATGAATACCGGATACACTGTAGTATCTTGTTTCCGCTCATTCACGCAGAGTTATGATGGATCCTAGAGTAACGAGCAGTGGGAATTCCAAAATAATGGTGATAATAGCCGGAGGGCAGTGCTGCCTCTGCCAATATGCATACCAAATTGACGGGATAGCGTTTCTAAATGCCCGGACAGAAGAACACATGTGGCCACGTGGCTGAAGCAAACTCCCTTAGATCCATATAGGCCTTGTTGCCTGTCCTGGCTCCAAACCTACTTTGTGCACTGGTCAGAAACATGAAGTGTTTCTTTTCGAATCCAACTAGCTTGGGGCGACAGTGCCAACATTGGAAACCCGATACTTGACATCGTGTACACATGGAGACGATAAGGTCCGTTCTCGAGAGAAACTGTCATCAGCTGTTTCCAGCAGGAACATGAAGCATTAAATGTGACAATGAAGAGAAGATGGTGATCATCCCGATGGTAGATTAGACCTTCATTGGCACAGAAGTGATTCTGTCACAACAATGCCTCCCAGTCCACTCCCATCACAGCTGGCAGTCTGCATGCCAGCTGTCAAATGCCCTCACCCTCACCAGGTGCCTTTGTTTATATAAAAATCAACTTTCCCGTTCAGAGTTGAGTGCTATTACAGACCACCTTTCAAGCAGGCTTGGTGATGCATTCTAATAGCATTGAGTAGTGAAGATAGCCAGGTCCTTATTAGTGCTATTGTGCACAACATACAAACTGGCAAGCAAAGTGTTACTAGCTGTTGCATCCAAATTCAGATTACTCCAGGAAGTCCAACCGACCAAGAAGTTGATGTCATATAATAATATTCTCCCTATCTACCTCTCTCATCCTCGTGTTACGTGTTCTTGTGTCACGTATACAGATCCATTATGTCATCCAGCTCAACTCTGGTCACACGGGCGTCATGGACAGCCCTCGCGCAGACATCTCGCTGCGCGGCATCGTGCCCAAAGTCGAGACCGAGTTCCACATCAACTTCCCGTGCACGTTCCGCCAGAGTGGCACCACGTTTGTTGCCATCACGTTCACGTTCTTCGACGACCGCGGCATGCCCATGTACGAGATGCCCTTCACCTTGGCCATGAAGCGTGCATGTGTGAAAGGTATGTACATTTACCGGCTTCAAAAATAATGCACGTCTTGGATCTTCATGCACGACTTTAGACTATTCTCCTGTTCTTTGGACCTACACCTATTCAATAGCCTGTGTGTGTGTGTGGGGGGGGGGGCTGGTGTTGATCCGCCCCCCCCCCCCCCCGAAACACTCGTAATAACGTTAGTATTATGGTATAGCCTTGGGGGGGGGGGGGGGGAGGGTGTTAATTTGCACCTTCCTCCCCCCCCCCCCCCCCCCAATCCCACACACGCACACACATGTATAGTATACAAATAGCTGAGGGGGGGGGGGGGGATTTGCACCCCTCCGAGACACACCCACACCCACACACACACACACAGTATAACACATGCCTAACCTGTGTCCGTGGCTCTCACTGTTGACTTGTGTCTGTCGTTGCACTTCAGCCAACAAGAAGGCCGAAGTGCACACACATCGACTGGATATCAGCAATATCAATGATGACGAGAAGGAACACATCAACACACAGCTAGGTAAGGAGTCAGCAGTTCTGCTCGGTTACTTTCTGCACAAGTACCAAAGTTGTCAACTCAAGACTTGCCGAAAACACCACATACAGTTCTATTAACATGCCTGCATGCCACTAACATACCATGGTCAAATTCAAGTCATTAATATCTGTAAGATAGTGTGCATCACAACAGCCGTACTGTAACTGAGCGAATAGTTCCGTGCCATGATGTGCTGTGTCTCTGATAGGCAACGACCTGGGAGATCCCGGAAAGGAGCGGACAATCCCAGTCGCCGTGGTTGTCCAGCCCCATCGGCCCGTTAGGCCAGCGGAGCAGCCCACTCCGCCGGAAATCGAGACCGAACCCAAGGACGACTTTGGAAAGGCAGCCACGGAGGCACCTAAGGCCAAGCCGGCGCCTATAGTGAAAACCGGTGAGTGATTACAAATACTACAAAAAATCCTTTAAAAAAAGCATCATTGTGCAAAGGTGTATGGCATGCAACCTAGTACACTCATACCTTGCTTATACGGGCGGTCCGGGACTGGGCACTGCCCGTAACTTCGAAATGTCCGTAACTCCGAATCCCATACATTTTTATGGGAAGGCCATATTAAAATATGGTACATGACGTCACTGTTTACACGAAAAGTGACAAAAGAGTAGTAATATTTCCACTAAACCTTGCACAAATGGTGCCCGGTAGACTGGAGTGCCCGTAACTTCGGGGTCCGGATGGCCGAGGTGTGAGTGCACATGTACTAGCACCCATGTTCTAATAATATGTCGTGCATGTGTGTGTGTGTGTGTGTGTGTGTGTGTGTGTGTGTGTGTGTGTGTGTGTGTGTGTGTGTGTGTGTGTGTGTGTATGTGTGTGTGTGTGTGTGTGTGTGTGTGTGTGTGTGTGTGTGTGTGTGTGTGTCACCATTTACTATGTCCATGCAGTGCGCGCACGTCCTACTCCCAAGCAGCCCAGGCCCCAGATCGATGCCTGCCCGATGTGCATCATGCCAAAGAATCAATCACAGCTGGAGGATCTCATCTGCAAAGCCGGATTTGGTAAGGAAATACATTGACTGCATGCTAACATGATATTATTTATCCTCCTCTTCTACTTGTTGGTAACATAATTAGAGTAAATCATGGAGATACAGAACAGCACTGAGCGGCTCCACAAGATAAACATGCCAATGCTTTCCTATCATACATTCTGTGCGAGCCTGAAAGAATGTCTTGGGAATATGTACATTGGTTTTAAAAAGCCTCAAACCGTCCCTGCCTATTGGGGTCTGAAACTTTCTTAGGTCAAAATGTGCCTGAAAGCGGGTCAGATCAGCTTGTAGGAAAACACCTTACATGCACATATCAATATGAGGCCTGAGTGTGTTAGAACGCTGGTTGCCGTGCCGGAGAGTAAAGCCCTTCCCGGACTCGGCTTCCATGCTGCGTCTCCTCAGAATGATGACTGTGATCATGTACATGGTTATAACCGAATAGTTTTTTTAACCTGATGATTGCGCAAGCGGGAAACTCTGAGTTGCAATAAAAAATTCTGTTCCGCCTTTAATACTTGTATTTAAGGAAGCTCTGCCCTTCTGGGCATTGAGCACTTTGTGTGCAGAGAGGACTTATAAGTGTATTATTTGTTTGCTTGTTGTTGTCAACGTGCAGCCATTCGCACACGATTGTCATCGCTGGGCAAGGACACCAAGACGAATCACTTCTTCCTGGGCCTGCGCGACTACCGTGAGCTGAGACCGAGCCGCCGCAGCGCCTCCAACGCCCTGTACGCCTGGGAGCGGCAGCGGCAGGGAGTCGATGCCAGCGAGAAGGCCACGCTGACCTCCAGCGAGCCGATGCGCGTACGCGTGATGGTCGGCAGCCGTGGTGCGTGCAGCTGTAACGGCCGCGTCAACAACCGCGATCTGTACCTGGTGGCCGGTAAGTACAGCTCCCGCCGCGGCCAGCTGGTCATCCGCCAAACCAAGAGCCTGCTGCTCCCGTGGCGAGAGGTCAAGCACTGGATCCGACGGCTGAAGCCATTCCGCTGCAGCAAGTAATGTGGGCAATGGCGGTACCAGCCAGCCCCTGAGCTCACCATACACTGAGTTGCAAGAGTAATAGCAGCGAGAGTGGCGTAGAAATACGGAGCACGCGTTTGCACGCCAATTTGACAGCATCACTGCACCAGCCGCAACAGAACACACACCCCTGAACACTATCAATTCCAGACCTGCCACCTTGAGCCATCATCCACTTAGACACCCCCCCCCCCCCATCCTCCATATATTGTTAGTGCCTAAGCAGTGCAGAGCACTGTGAGATCAAATTCTGACTACGTACCGGTACGTACCGATGTGAGTTTGCACGCGATAGATCTGAGCAGTAATGTGCTAAGAGATTGTCTAGGTGGCTGCAACCCTCCATCACGTCAGTGTACGTGCCGGCACAAATTCGTTTTCGTGTCATGTCGCGTTGGCAACAATCCCTCAGAAATAACTTTTTTTTCGTAGCGTTTGCTCCATACAGCGTTGCTTCGCGCTTGCGCCGTCTTGAAAATTTCCAAGGTGTATTTTTTTACTACTGCCAGCCCGGCTCGGAAACAGTTTCATGTGCACACGTTCTAGTACTAGCTACCAGCGTGCAAGATTCTTATCATGCACAATGTCACTGTAGAATAAGATACCGTCACCGCCTACGTAAATAAATTATTGGCCCGCACCCGGGCATACGCCCTGCACAAAATACTGTTTCACATTGTAGTACCCTGTACTCTATTTGCCATGCTGTTTTGGACTTGATTTGGATCGGTGTATACTGGAGGAAATAATAGTCAGCACCATAGATATTGCTCAGGCATTATTGGCACATGGACTAGCTTCTTCAATCTTGGCTCATTTTATGGTTATTTTTAGGCAAATTTTTCTCCTAGCCCATTGCTGATCCCGTAATTCGTAATTCTTTATTGATGCTAGGTGTAAATCTGCAATATCCATCGAATGTGTAGTTTGACAGTGAGGGCTGTGTACATGTATGCACTGATGATGATGTGTGTACATGTATGCATGAAGTAGATCATGAACATGTGTTTCATGTGTAGCGGCATGTCTCATGACTCAACAGGACAGGCTGAGCTGAGGCCGATCGGCCCAGAAGAGTGTGTGCGCGTGTGTGTGTATGCGTGTGTGTATGTGTGTGTGTGTGTGTGTGTGTGTGTGTTTCGGTGTGCGCATGTGTGTGTGTGTGTGTGTGTGTGTGTGTGTGTGTGTGTGTGTGTGTGTGTGCGCGTGTGTGCGTGTGTGTGCATGCGTGCGTGTGTGTGTGTGCGTGTGTGTGTGTGTGTGTGTGTGTGTGTGTGTGTGTGTGTGTGTGTCTGTGCATTCACGTGTGTTTGCGACATCATATGACATGCACCAAAACTTGCTGCATGTCAACGCTGGCCAGCGACCACTGTTTTCCGAAATTAAAATCTTGACACACTGTTGTACAGTTATGGGTGCGGATCAGTGCCGGGTCAGACGGTCCGACCTAATGGCATTAATGGGTCACTTGCCCGGAAATATGGAGGAAAATCCGTTTTGCACGAATTGGGTGGGTCCATTTTTTCGAAATCGGAGGTCCGGCCAAAAATGAAAAACGTTTCGCTTGCCAACTTCCGATTGTAGAGAGGTGGCACCTTGTAGAGAGGTGGCACCTTTGATTCGAAACCAGGGAGTAGTAAAATACACTGGATTTTACTACTCCCTGTTCGAAAGCATTGTCACGGTGAGACTACGTAATCGTTAGCCGTCCGAGCCAACCGTCCTTGGCCCTGCCATGGCAACAAGCAAGCATCCGATTCGAGGCAATTGCCTTTGTAGTGCGGCCGGTGCACCCACCTTCAGTTACCATGGTCACCGCACGACTCGAAACAGACCCCCAAAGACAAGTACCTGTAACACCAAGAGTACATAACCCCCCCCCCCCCCCAGGTTTATGTACTCTTGGTATGTAACACCAGTACAGGGAGTATAGTATTTCAAACTGAAAACTACTCCCTGGAGGCTGGACCTGGTTGAAACTCAGTGATTGGCTGAATCCATGGTTTCCTACCATGAAGTACCGGTAGCGTTGTAGTACGTTATTTTGTATACGTCGTGTGTACGTGTGTACATCAACTACAAGAAGCCCAGGTTTCACCGATGCATCTGGATATCCGGGTTCCGGGTTGACTGGACTTGATCTTGCCAGCTAGTATATTTGTAGCAAGAGTACTCTTGTTTGTAGTGATCGAGTGTTTCAGTTTTGTTTTTTGATTGACTTGCCAGTACAATGTACTGAGTACATGTAGTACTCTACATCACGACTGCACTGTACTGTGACCATGCTGCATGCATGGTGACTGCAGCTGTGCACGTGCATGCATGCATGCATCTAGCAAGTAGCATGCATGCTGGACTTGAGCTTTGTTTGGTGGAAAGCTACGGTACTCCAAAAACTTTTTTTTTGGATTTGTGCGTTTCTGCTTGTTCAAGTACTACTCACTACTACTACAAAAGTGTTGTAATGATCGTATCTCCCAGCCTTTCTTGTTAGTCACCTTGCTTGACGTGTGCAATCTCTCCTACTCCTAGTGTGTTTCTTGTATAAAGATCTGAATTGCCGGAAAGGAACTGTCTGCATCAGCCTGACTGCTGTATTTATTTGGTCCTTGGTCTGCGCGAAAACGAGGTCAATCAATACCGTCTCACTTGTCTCTTCCCAAAAGTACAAGCAACAAACTTTGATATGGATACGACTCCCGGTATGTTCATGGGCATATCAACCTGGATGAGAGGCCGCGTTGTGAGAACCAGTTCCGACGGCACACCCAGTACCGGCACCCCAAGTCGCGCAAAATCCAGTTTAAGTACTGACAGCATTCCCCATGCTACTTGTTCGCCCTCTCCGTCACAATACGATGTCCCCGGAGCTGTCGGGACGACCTTTATGGGCGACGAGTCGCTGGACTTCGTACGCAATCCGGTAGAGTTTGTGCAGGAGAAATGCCGACAGTATGGACCGGTGTTCAAATTGCGGATCATGAATAAAGGTACAGTCGTAGTAGCCTCGAACGATGCAGTCAAGGAGATGCTTGAAGGTAAGTGACTTCACAATACTGTAAATATACAAATTTTCGGCAGCTATTTAATTTCGGCTATATTCGGCACCGACCCAAAACGTCTAAATTAAAACGCCGATGAAATTTTTCAAAGCATTTGTCGCAATACCATGCCCTCTACTCCACGCCGAAAATAAATCGCCGCCGAAATTTCAAAAATCGTGAAGTGCCGAAATTTTGCAGCGCCGAAATTTTGTATATTTACAGTACAATAAATCAATAGAGGTTATGCGATTACATGTCCATCATCAGTTGAGAGCCACCATGACATCATTTTCATAACCTATAGCAATACTATAGTACTCTGCAGTACATATACAATGGCAATGTCATGCACATCATCATGCTGTCCATTCATTGCACTCACCACACAGCCCCCCCCCCCCCCCCGGACTGGCTACAGGGCGGTACTGGTCCAGACCGGCTTCAGGGCAGATCAGCGTCATACGAAAACGCATCTCTAGCTCCATGCGCAGGCACGCAGCCCGTATGGGGCACGTGCCCCCCCCCCCCTCCTAAAAAGTTCGACCTAGGTTCAGTATGCACATAATGACCATGAATGACACGCACCAGCCATCTTACACATATGCGGCCGTGCAATCCCCCCCCCCCCCCCCCCCCCTAAAAGGGGACCAGCTACACCGCTGGTGCGTCGTATCTGATTGTTTTAGCTACACATTGCAGCAGATATCCAGCACACGTACACACCCAGCTCGCAGGCCTATCAGAACTTACGTTAAGTTAGTTGAAGAGTTTCGATGCAATACTCTTTGAGCTCATTGAGATCAGTGCAATCAAAAGGTCTAGAAGCACCTGCAGTCAAAATCTCATGTTCAAAAACTGCCTTGAACCACTTCAAAACCGTTTGCCAAATATGGATGAAGATACAAACTAAACATGACACCGGAATTAGTAAAAGCCGGTACTCAGACATATGTGCTCAAATGGGATGTATGCCTGCCTTCCCCGCCATTAGGTGTTGCGGCGCAAAGTCCATGACACCCCGTACATCTGTACACACTACAATGAATTTCCGTACTTTACGTCAATTGTAAAAATTAGTATCAATGTAGTATGGCTTGTTCTTTTTGTTGTTGTTGTTGTTGTTGTCTGCTCAGAGAGGTACGATTGCTACTCCATCGGTTTTCTCGATCACATGAAGGACATCTTCGGTGAAAACATTCTGTTCGCAGATGGTACGTATGGCGCCTTGTCGCATTGTTGTATACTTTACTTAGAGTGGAAATCAAAACCAGCGTTCCCTTCACATACATGTACAGTGCATACTCTAGTGCCTTTAGGTGTAATTTAAATTTAAGTGCCTGGTTTCTCTACCGAAATCACCGAAATTAAAGTTACACCGAAAATCACATGTTTTACAGTATGCTTGATAACAAGGGACCCACACTGTGAGGTCTACCGCTGTCTGTGGATACGAGTACATGTACCGGTATATGTACCCTCGGCAGTGTACCTCCTGGAGGTGTGGGCACAATCCTGTGCCCTACCTGTATCTTCAAATCTCTAATCGTTTCTTTCGAAACTTTCCGCGTTACACATGTCCACGGACCACTATAGTTTTACAACACCTGTTATTTGCGTGCGGCCATTTCCCTGTCCCCAATTCTGCAAGAGCCGTTTTTCTTGTTTTTCTTCTCTCCCTTTCTTTTTCCCTGGCTCTCTGTCTATCTATCTCTCTCTCTCTCTCTCTCTCTCTCTATCTATCTCTCCATCTCTCTCTCTCTCTCTCTCTCTCTCTCTCTCTCTCTCTCTCTCTCTCCCTTACTCTTACTCGAAATCTCTTCCTACCTTGTAGGGGATGAACTGGTGCGTTTAAGAACAGCAATTCAGCCCTTCTTCACGCGGGAGTCTGTCGAGAAGTGCATGCCAACACTCAAACAGTAAGCATGTAGTGATAATCACAGTGTGTGTGTGTGTGTGTGTGTGTGTGTGTGTGTGTGTGTGTGTGTGTGTGTGTGTGTGTGTGTGTGTGTGTGTGTGTATGCGGACTTGACTTCGATGGCTTGGCCACGTGTCCCGCATGCCAGATCGGATCCCTCGTCAGCTGCTGTACGGCGCATTACCCTCCAAACGTCCACCGCATGGACCCCGTAAGCGCTGGAAGGACTCCGCGAAGTGCGACTTGATGGCTGTTGGCGTTCCTCTGGAGCAGCTTGGTGACATCGTCCAAGATCGACAGGGATGGCGGGTCACCTGCCGTGATGCTGTCGACGCTATTGTCCAGTCCCGCATGGAGCCTGTGGGGAAGCCCCTCATCTGTGGCACTTGTGCGCGCAGTTTTCGTCGGCTGCAGGATATTGCGAGGCACAAGTGTAACGCTGTTCGCGCGGCCCGCGCGCGCTGAGTATGGCGTTCCCCGCCCGGTGGACAACACGTCTCCTGGTCTGCCCCGTATGGGGCTACATAGCCAGTCATGGCAGTGGAAGAAGGAAGGAAGGAAGGAAGGAAGGTGTGTGTATGTGTATGTGTGTGTGTTAACGCGCAGTGCGCTGTGGATGCTGCCCATTACCTCTACTTGCTGCTATGACACAACACCTATCCTGCATCCCCATCATACTTGTCTCACAGCTGATTTGTTGTAACACCATACCGCTTCAAAACAAAGTGTTTGTATGTGCACCGGCTGCTGTAGTGAGCGAAACTTGTTTGTGTGCTTCCTTGCTCTCTCTCTCTCTCTCTCTCTCTCTCTCTCTCTCTCTCTCTCTCTCTCTCTCTCTCACTCTCTCTCTCTCTCCTCTTGCCTTGCTTGACAGGATAATTAATAACTGCATTCCAAAAATTACGCCTGGGTAAGTGAGTTTGCTGCATTTTTTGTGTGTACATTCCTGCAAGTACTGGTATGTTGAGTTGGTATGGGTCTATCTGCTAGTACTGTATAGCAGATCGGACGGAAATATTTTCGGACAAAGCCGAATTTCGACCTTTTGTACGGATTTTATTTTCGTACCGTGGTGCATGCTGTACGCATGTATAGTGTACATAACTTCACAGGATCAAATTTTAGTACGGAATTAATTTTAGTACAGAAGAGGCCGTGTACGAAATCGTCCGAAAAAAATTCCGTCCGAAAATTGCCTGCTATACAGTATTTGGCATTTCGTAAAAAATTCCGTCCGAAAATTCCTTGCTATACAGTATTTGGCATTTCGTAGAGCATATTTCTGTGCTGCGCAGGTATTGCTCAGCAGAATTCAACAGGATAATATGAGTACCACAGCATACAATAGCCCCATTCAAATCAAGGGCATCTTAATTTACACCAACCGTGCAACTAATTACTTGGTTGGATAGGTCTACGGCAGCAGTCCCGGGGGATACGATAATGGACTGCATGTACATGTAGCTGCGCTGCTTCTTACAGAGATGGTGACATTCATGTCATTATCGTCACGGGCTCTCAGTGTACGTTTGATGAGCTTCCTGTCCTCTTCAGCTCTCCCATTGTATTATATGAGCTGTTCAAGCGGCTGTCGACAGAGCTCTCGCTCGCTCTCTTCCTCGGCATGGATCTGGAGGAGATCGAGTCGTTGGTTGATCACGTGATAGAGCTTGGAAAAAGTCACTGGCATGGTGAGTGTGATCATGCACCAATTTATTGGCAGTCTCGGAATTTCAATTTGCACATGCGCATAGACATCAGGCAGTGCTTACAGGAATAGGTGTTTGTCATATAGCAATGCTGCTTGTAACATTGATTGTGGCAGAAATCTGACGATTTCATCTAGATTTCATTGGAATTGCAGTCATCTTTTTTTACGTCGGTTGGATTTAGTGCATCAGCAATCCCGTGTGTGTATGTGTGTGTGCACGTGCATGTGTGTCTTTTCACTGTGCGCCCATCCCCCTTTTAGGCTTCGTCTCCGTCCCTCTCAAGTTTGTGCCGTCGTTTCTTGGGTCGGGCTATGCGCAGAGCATCGATGCTAAAGTACGTACTGGACATTTGTGTGCTGCTGGGCAGAAAGAATGTGTTATTTGTTCTGCATGCTTATCTACACACTGCACACATGTTACTGGTTCTCAAGCTGCTGCACTGCTCATCACATCGCACAATATTGTTTTGTGAACCCCGGGCCATGTGGCGGTAAAACGCTTGAGTAAAAAAATCACGGTTCGCGTCAGACTCGGCTAAAGGCCGAGTTTTCCGCGTCCGTAGGAACACCACCACCCTTCAAGGATGAAGGCTTGAGTATCCCGTGTTTTATTGCTGCATACTTCTGGGATGCTAACACTTCGAGTGCAGGATGACCTTTGATTCTTTTAACTAGAGGTTTGACTCTGTCTCTGTCTCTCTTTTCTTTGTCCTGACATTGACCACTTTTCTCCAGACCGAGCTGCTCAAGTTCATCCATGATCGGATTGAGGCGGGTAAACTGAAGTACGTACCTAGTGCTCATCATCATGTTCTCTGCCAATACGGCAGTCGTAGCTGTCACGTTGCGCAACATTAATTTTCTCGTGTTGGATTGTACACAAAGTGGTGTTACCCTGAAATGCAGCTCGCCTTGATTTAGTCTTACCCGTGTTGATGGTAATGTTCCCCATCACTGACCTATGATTATGTGTCCCAGTCACTCTGGTGTTGATTTGTTCTTGCTGAGAAGTGCTGCTGGTGGTATCATCATGACGATGCATTACAAAATAAAATACTTGCTGCTAGGTGCATAGATTTAGTTTTTACTGTGTGTCTGGACCATTAATACGTGCAAATCTCTGGGAAGTCAAGTGCTCTGATCTGTTTTGAGCCCCTCTCTCTCTCGCTCAATCTCTTCATCTCCTTTTCATTCAGGATATCAGGCAGTGATGACTTCTCGGGATTCCAGGACATTGACGAAGCAGCACGCCACGTCCTCGTCTTCATATCGGCACTGATACCCAAAGCATTTGGTTCTCTGCTAACGTCGTTCTGCCTGGAGACAGCGGCACGAGTAAGACCACCATTTCTGTGTTTTGAACTTGTCTTCAGTGTGCAGATTGCAGACTCCGTTAGGGCACGTTCAGACTACCGATAAAAAGTGACCGATTGGGAAAGTCGCCAAGGTGAATTGATCACGTGACGTTACTGGCACGTTACCGGTGGGAAAGTTTTACTGCCGCGGCTGCTGCGGCAGTAACTTTTACCGGCAGTAAAAAAGTTCTCAGGCTGCATGCGCGCTGGGAAAAAAGGGAAAATCCCTTGTCAGTGCCGCGGTGAGAGCTGAAAACTTCACGGTAACGTTAGTTTGTTATCGGTAGTGTGAATGTCCTTCACGGTTTATCGGCATTCACGGTTTGATGGGGTTCACGGTAGTCTGAACGCGCCCTTACTGCTTGAGTGAAAGCGAATGAGATCAAAAGACATCTTCTTGACTGTGGCTATGTTGTTCGTCTTTGAGAAGTGTCCACTGAGACAGAGCCCAAAGTATTTTGCTGTATTTGCTGGAGTATTACACTCGATTTGCATGCACTATTTCAGGCTCAAGAAGAGTCAAGATTGCTGCAGCGGTTATGCACATCAGGTCATCGTAAATGCATTGTATGGAGCCAGGGCTAGTTCTGTATATTAAAGTGGCAGACTATACAAACAGTGCGAGTCGTGTAGTGCAGACCAGCACTAGCACACCACTGCGCTGTCGTTTTGCCACTCCATACAAAGCATCTCCAATGATGATGCAGTCATGTAACCTCTATACGTAGACTCATCAATACCACCTTGAGAGGTCCAACTTTTCATTGAATATAGGTTGCGCTTTGTACTCCAGCGTCTTCGGTGGCAGTTCTATTAGAATATAATAGGCCCCCGCTTTGTTGCCTTAAGGCCGATTCATACTTCATTTCGCATATGGGAAAATCATCGCGCAATAGGGCTTGAAAGTGCTACGTCACAGCATAGCAACAATTTCAAAAATTCAAAAATTGGATCCACTTGGATCCAGTTTTTGTATGGATCCAAGCACATTTCAAGCCGTCTTACTCTCAGCAAGGTGATGTAACCAGTGAAACTGACTGATTTGGCTACTGGGGGCGGGGTTACAACTGGTGGCGAAATAAAAGTCACACCTGCATGCGACATGAGTGGGTTGCTATGCACCCACATACTTAGGCAATAGCAAAGTCACACCTTACTCCCTGGCCGTTTTGACGTCATCACTTTCAAGCCCTATGGGCCAAATAAGTTGAGCTCACGTCAACTTGGTCGCAATGCGACGCGTGTCCCATACGCAAAATGAAGTACGAACCAGGCTTTAGTCTCAGGTGTATCAGAAGATAATTTGTGTGAGAGCGGCGAAGCTTATGTCTTTTGTATGCTGCTTCATTCTGGTTGTTTTGCTGTACGTGTTGCTGCTACTGCTGCTGCTGTTCTTGTTGGTTGCTGTTGGTTGTTCATGTGTGTTGTCTTGCAGAGAGATATCCTGCAAAAGTGTGTGGATGATGACAGCTTTCTCGACGACACACTCTTAGAGGTGTCTCGCCTGTGGCCGCCTTTCCTCGGAAGTCGCCGCATCACTAAACAAGTGAGTAGTGTTGGTTTGATGCAATGGCTGGAGATGAGTGCCACCTCTTGCAACTGCATTGCCGGTAGTCTTCTGCACAGATGTTGTGTTGCTTGGGAGCGTACTGTGAACTTTCTAGGGGTGGTTGTACCAAGGATACCAACTCTCGGGCTTTAGGGAGAGTCTCCTTGGTAAGGGCCGGGTTCCACTGCGGCTCCGCGGCACTTGGCTGCATGCAGCGGAGCAGCGCGGTTCCACTGACACTCGCCATTCGCGGTACCGCGGTCGTGCTCCACACTTTTTGATGACGTTTCACCTGCCTGCGCGCGAAATCAAAAAAATCCTCATGTTCTGGCGTACAAAACAATGCAAAGTACGGGAAACAGGTTGAGTCGCGACCGCGGCTCGCAGTTTTTGGTGAAGAATCGTAGCAAAAGCTCGCGGTGAGCCGCGGACTCGCTGCTCCAGCTCGAGCCGCGGTCACTATGGTAATGATGACGTTTCAAGCCGCGAAAGACGAGCAGCGGAGCCGCAGTGAAACCCGGCCCTAAGAGTACCCTTGGCTGTAATGATAATATGATTATTGAATGTTTGGAAACATGAGCATGATAACAGTTAGGTCTGTTGGTTTGTTGTTGGTAGCCCATTTACGTGTAGAGTGGTGACCAAAGCAATCTGGCCTGAGAGTCAAAAGCAGTGTCCATTTCAATTAACGTTACATCATGCACGTTCCAAAAACAAAGTGCAGCGTACCGTAATGACCCATCGTACGGCCGCAGGGTCCGCATGAGCCTTGGGGTGCTGCTTTCTGCTCACACAAATCCGATTTCTTTGGCCACGACTGCAGTTAGGCCATCCTGCGATGTTGCGTATTTCTGCCCGTCCCCTCTCTGTTAACTATTAATTTTATTTCTGTGTGTGTGTGTGTGTGTGTGCGTGCGTGCGTGACCACTGTTTTGTCACCAGGAGCATGCTATTCAAGGGCACACAATACCGAAGGGCATGCCTGTCTTGTACATCACTCATGCTGCCAATCATGATCCGACAGTGTTTGCATCTCCCGATGAGTTCATTCCACAGCGGTGGGCAGAAGAGTAAGTCTCAAGGACGGTGCATGCCAAGGGGGGACTCCCTGATCAGCTTCACTACAGGAGCAGAGCCACGATCTGGGATACCAGCTAGCTCGTTGCATCATTATTGATCTGCCACGGCTTCCCGCTTCTAAATGCGGTTTCTGCGGAGGGTGTTAGGTGTGATGCGTCGCATACAGGCACTGCCTTTGAACCTACCATTTTATGCGTGAAATTGTTGCCCGTAGACCAAAAGAACTTCGAATCAAGTCAGCTTGAGCATCATTTCACAATGTAATGAAGGTAGTGCGCCGTGCACAGCACCCATAGCTGGAAGATCAGAGTTACACATACTTGGGGCTATGTACTCTTTCTACTATGGATACGTGTGCGGCCAGAGTATTAAACACTGTATTTTCAAACTCACCCTATCAGGCCCACCCGGGTCCAAACCCCATCCATGATTGGGAACTGCCCGGCACTCAGTGCAATGCAGCGAATACATTGATGGTTGACGTGCTTGTATCAGCCATACGCATGCTGAGAGTAACAAAGAGTGTGTACGTCTCTACTGTCTTGCACGCCACGTGGCAGTGCCAAAGAAATCCAGCCTCATGAATAAAGTCGCGCCGTGTTAGAGTACACAGACCAGTGTCTGTAGTGCTTGGGCTGCGTAGCGCTATTTTATTCATGAGATTGGATTTCTTTGGCCAGCACTGTGGTTGGTGGACGTGTCCAGATTAGGGCAGGTTGTCAGGCTTGTGTGTATATGCAGAAAAAGAACTGGCACCCCTTCACTAACTGGCTTCAGCCATGGTTGTAGATCAGGGTGCTGCTGGTGCTGCCACTCCTGCTCCTGCTGTCATTGTCACAACATTCCTGCTATGCTGTGTTTGTCTTTTGGTAGCAATCGCAATGACCGGGATCGTGTCTTCACTCTGGGCAGTGGAGGACGAGAGTGCATTGGCAAAGTTCTCGCTCAGCTTCTGTTCAAGGTCAGTCTCACCACATCCATCAGCATTGTGCTTCGTTGTACGTAACATGAATCACATGAATGAGAAGATATAAACTGAACCTTCCCCGGTTCAAAGTGATCTTCGTCTTTTTAAATTCTCTTTGCTGGGATCGTTCCGCTGTGTGTGTATGTAGACTCTGCTATCTGCTTGTGTTCATATGCCGGTGTTTGTGCTTCTAAACTTTGTCTTCTGTTTTGTCTCTCTGCATCCATCACCACATCTTGTGTTCTTCCATCATCTTTCTCTGTGTTCTGTGTTGCTTTGTTGTCATGCATAGGAATGCGCCAGGTCCCTCGCTGAGCACTGGACTTGGGAGCTACCCGACGGCCAGTCACTGCAGTACAAGTGGCTGCCCGTGTCTCGACCCAGTACCGACGTTGTAGCGTTATTCACGCCACGCTAGCCCGCAGTGTCCGCCCTACCCATCTACCCATCTCCAACCAGACAATGTACGTCGCTGTGTTTAGTCCTGCTGACGAGTGGAGGGGCACGTGTGATCTGCATGGCCACCTTGCCCCCCGGTTAGGCTGAATTCCGTGTTGCAAGTTCTGGCCGCCTTGCCCCGCGGTTCCACTCAGTGTAACTTAGTAGTGTACTATGGCCATGCATGACCCAGCCGCTGCAGCGACTGCTGCTCAACTGAAACTACGAGTAGCGCTTATAGCGGTTTGCGCCGTGTTCTAGCAACCACCGAAGGGGTTCGTAGTCAAGATGCCGCTCCGGGTGTACCTTTCGAAGTCAGTTGCCGGCAGGCTGAATGTCCGTCCGTTCTTTCTTGCTGTGGCAACTGTGCTTTCACGTTTACCACCCGTGGACGTCGTTAGATCACGCACTTCTGTGTGCTGCACATGCCTATTCTAGGCAGTTCTATCTTGAGTACCGTGCTACTCAGGGTGGTGTGATGTTTTTTAACGTTTTTGTTACATGACAAGCGAGTATTGTTCCTTGACTAACGGTGGTCTTGGACGTGGTCGTTTCCTCGCCCTTGTATCATCTGCCTTTCATTAACTCTATTTATTCGTTTTTACTCCCGATTATTATTGTTTTTATTTTAATAATATATCGCCACGTACTGTACGACAAGTATCATTCTGAAAATAAGGTAGCAAGTGTCATAGTTTTGCAAACTCCACCCGCGCATCACTGTACACTGTGTGTTCTTAGCCAATCCGCTTGGTGAATAGTCAGTCAAGGGAGCCAGTCTAGCAACCTGCTTTGAATGCCACTTGTTTGTTCTTGTTTTTGGCATGTGCCTGTCCCCCGCCCCCCGCCGACTTATCCTTTGGGTGCACAAAATGCTGCACTATTTTCAGTTCTGGAGTACCACAGCCATGCTGTGCTCTACTCGTATCGTCATGACGACAGTTGTATAATTATTATATTCATGTACACATTTCAAATCAATTATTTGCGTAAATTTACGCTTTATACTGCCCTTTTTTTTAAAACTGTACTGTCTTGGCGCATGGCGCGCGTTTGACTGGCTCCAATTCACTAGTATCCTTTGCGAGACCGAGAATGGATACAATGAAACTTCAGAAGAAGAACAAACTACAGAGTATCCTGGATACACACAAACAGCACGAAGGAGGTTTACACTTTACCGAGTATGAGTATGTTGCCACTCCGAGTTGCTTGCACAATGCAATCACAAGTCGCTTGATGATTGCATTGTGCAAGCAACTCGGAGCTGCGACATACAGTAAAACCTGTGACTAACGACCACCCCTTGGGGCCAGAGAATGCTGTCTTTAGTGGCAGGTGGTCCTTACAATAGGTTTGCACCGCACAACCGTAGTGAATGTGGCTAAGTGGTCTGTAGTAACAGTAGTAGATCTACCAGGCTGGTCGCTAGTCACGGTGGTCTTTAGTCAATGGTTTTGCTGTACTCTGTAAACCCCCTTGGCGCCTTCTGTGTGCAATAGGCCTTATGCACATTGTACAGATGTACGAAGTTCTGTACTATGGCCGTAGGTGTGTACATACCCGGTTGGGTGTTCATTGTGTGCTATGCATGCGCGTTTGACCCATTTAGCCTCACAATTCATGGCAAACGATCACTTTTCAAGCCTTCTTCACTTTGGGATTGAACTAACGACTAGCTAGATCTCTGCCGGAAAAAGATTTCGTATGAAATGCCTTCATGGCCCATTTCATAGTGGAAATAGCAGTAAACACAATAGGGTCCTGCACATTCAACACCCAACCGGGTCTACGGGATTCTACAAGATTATACGGGATTTCGTGCATCTGTACAATGTGCATAAGGCCTATAGTGCTCCACATTATTGTGTTGAGCCCTCTCCGCTGGCTGATGGGGCGTTTCCTCTTTGGAGTATCCTTCGTCAGTTTGAGGGAGATGAAAGGAGGAAAATCAAAAACGAACTTTTCTTCGAAAATGCGGTCCCTGTGAACAGGTGGTCTCCTTACCATCCCTTGATCCTAGACTCATGGTCCTCAGGAATTAATTAAAAGTGGATGCCATTTTCATGATGCAATGCTCCTCGCACGAGTGCTTCACGACACATTTGTACGGGGTGTCAACCAGGGAGTATTTTAATACCAATGGCAATGATACTGTACTACTCCCTGGTGTCAACACATCACAGGTGTTTCATTGAACTACACAACTGTAGCATGTACAGGATCAAATGGAGCTTTGTCCTCCATAGGTCCAAGATACGTCTGATAACACACGTACAACGCACATTGCGTCATACAAACGACGTCCACTTGAAATTCTGTCGGGACAGCACCCATAGAGGAGCTCACACTCTTGATTGTATGCAAAATACATGTACACCTGCGTACACACACACACACCTGCGTACACACGAAATGCACTGAAGCCAGTAGGGTTTGGTTACGCTAAGGGGAATTTGTTATAAATACTCTTGCAAAGAGAGGCAGCGATAAAAGAATATGGCTTTGTGAACGTTTCACTACAGCGAGCAGCTCTCAAAAGATCAGTCAGTACTCAAGTCCGCAATACCAGCACGGATCATAATAATTATGTTGAATGGAGCTAGTAGCAAGTTCAGTTTAGTAGCAGATCGAGCAGTCCACCGACGAAGACAGGCTGCAAGCTAGAGAGACACACACACAGACCTGTGTATGCGTGCATGCAGAAGAGGGACGACGGAAGGACGCGTCTCCACTGCAGTGCAGAACCCCACCGCAAGGATACAACTTCCGGGATCGATACTCCTTCACGGAAGGGAGGTGATGGCACGAGACCATCTTCAAACGTAGCATGGCTGAGCAGAATCAGTATTGATCAGAACTCACTCACAACAAAGCCCTATGCTTTACCATTGGGCTGTAGGCCATTGTAGAAAGCACCTTTTGGCTTCTGGTTCAGAATGCTGGAGATAAGCTCGCGCTGCTCGTCAGAAAGCTCCATCTTGGGGAAGTCCACGTCGACGGTTATGTACAGATCGCCGCGTCGATTGTTGTCGTCGTGGTGGGGCATGCCCTCGCCGGGCTTGCGGATTACCAGGCCGTACGCCGTGACCGCCTTACGCTCGACGACCACCGTGTGCCCGTCCAGGTGAGTGATCTCGCTGCGAAAGCCGCTGAGAGACTCCTGCAGCGTGATCGTGATGTTTGTGTACAGGTCGTCGCCGCGCCGCTCAAACGTGCGGTGCTTCAGCTCGTGGATCTTGAAGTGCAGGTCGCCCGGGTCTCCGTCGATGTGCGGCTCTCCCTCACCGCTGAACTTGTACACGTGATCGTGCCGTACGCCGACTTCGATCTCGATCTCCAGGCGCCGCTCCTCGGTGACGAACTTCTTGTTGGCACACTTGTCGCACACTTCCTCCTGGAACATCTGGAATTGGCCACCGCCCATCATCTGCGTCTTCATCTCCATGCGGCAGTTGCACCGCCGCTTGCCGGGTGCCTCTTTCGTCACAGGTTTGTTGCGCACAACCTCCACAAACTCTCCGTTGTAGATTTCCTCCAAGGTGACCTCGATGATGCTGGTGACGTCAGCGCCCCGCGGTCGCTCGCCGTTGCCCTGGTTACCCTGGAAACCGAACCCAAAGCCGCCGAAGAAGCTGCTGAACGGGTCGCCGCCGCCGCCCTGGTTCTGTCGCTTCTGCAGGCCTTCCTCTCCCTCTCTGTCGTAGATCTGACGCTTTTCGTCGTCACTCAGGGCTTCGTAAGCTGTGCCCAGCTCCTGGAATTTGTTTTCAGCAGTTTTGTCGCCCTGGTTGTGATCAGGGTGGTACTTGAGAGCCAGCTTGCGGTACGCCCGCTTGATCTCCTTTGTCGTGGCCGTTCTCTTCACGCCCAGGATACTGTAGTAGTCTTTCCCCGCCAGTGCACACACGCACATGCACAGAAGCAGGAGCGCGGACCGCCACGCGACTGAGACCTTCATGGTGTCGCCAATGAGCAATTATTTTCAGCTTCGAGACTTCCTGAGTTCACTGACAATAATTCACAGCGTCAACATCCACAGGGACTGTGGCTTCTTGACTACGAAGGCGCTCTTCGAAGTCTTCGAAGCTGAACCAGGTGGTCCTAGAACTCCAGCAGATACAAAACTCCTAGCCCAGCAGCTCAAATTCTCACAAGACAGTAATTTTCTTCGCCATCACCAGTTTTCGTCTTCACATCAGCTTATGCTCATCAGCTCATGCTCAGGTCATCCGCAGCCCGAAAGACACATCAGCTTTCATTTTCGATGTTGAAGAGGATCACGTGTATATGTAGCCGATGTGTGGCTGCGCAAAGTACCAGAAAGGGGAGAGTGAGCTCGCTGATTTCGGCCTCAGTTTCCATGCTTCACGCTCCCTTACAAAATTGGGAGTAGTAAAGTTTTTTACCGCTTTTTAATATTACTCCCTCCAAAAGTAAAGGCTAGCCCTTCCTCGATCAACCAGTCCAGGGAGTGACCATGGTGACCACTCCCCGCGGCCTGGTCTCAACCACAGGGATCCTGTAACCTGTGTACATCAGGGAGTCGTATTTTACGACTCCCTGGTGTATTAATTTTGCAGGCTAGGCTGTATAGCAGACCTCGTTCACTCGATCGAGTCACTCGATCGATACGATTACGAGTCACCGTGACCATGGTGACCCGAACGGCCAAAGCAAAGCAAAGGAACATCGTTACGTGTTTAGCTTCTCGATCTCCTGTTTCAGTGCCAAGCAAGAATGCCAAGATCAAAAGAGTGGACCTTTTTGTTTTACCTACCGCGTATACCGTCCGTCACTAGTCACTGTCGACTGTCGTATGATCTGTCATTATGGATTGTATTGTAAAGCCACATTGTATTCGCCTAGGTGTTGCCAGTGTTGGCTGCGTACCTACGTTGGTGAGCGACAAGACAGGTACACTAGGTGCGGCTGTCAAAGAAGTAGAAATGGTGCGAAGAATCAGTAAACAAACTGATCGCTTGGTTTCCTGGCCGAAATCGCAACACAGTTTTGCAGGTCAGAGCTAACGGTGCACCGCGGTTCTTCCAGAAGAGCGCAGCCATGGCGGCAGACGGATCGAGGTTCAAAGTGGAAGCGGTGGATCGTGAGCAGCTCTCCGTCAGAAGCCTGGGCGAGCTGCTGGAGCTTCAGAAGCTCGCAGAAGAAAACAGTGACCAAACAGCTGTTCAGAGTTTAGGTGAGCTACTGGCGGACACACAGTCTGGTTCGCCGAGCGCTTCCAGGGCGAGAACGGGATCAAATGCCGAGGGCCGTCAGCGCAGCTCGAGCGCACTGTCCGAATCTCAACTGCGACCGCGAACGTTGAGCGGTGCCGGGTCGCTGATTCGTCCAGATCGCTCCATTGTGCTGGGTTTAGATGGCAGCGAAGAGTGCAGGACTGCGTTTCATTGTAAGTCTTATCGAAGCTGTTATGGATTGATCGCGTTTGTCCCTGCTGTACGACACACCACCCACATAAGCACCCACACACATGCGCTCAGGCACGCGAACACACACACACACACACACACACACACACACGCGCGCGACCGCGAACGTTGAGCGGTGCCTGGTCGCTGATTCGTCCAGATCGCTCCATTGTGCTGGGTTTAGATGGCAGTGAAGAGTGCAGGACTGCGTTTCATTGTAAGTCTTATCGAAGCTGTTATGGATTGATCGCGTTTGTCCCTGCTGTACGACACACCACCCACATAAGCACCCACATACATGCGCTCAGGCACGCGAACACACACACTCACACACACACACACACACACACACACACACACACACACACACACATATACACACCACCGTGATGCACTGCATATAGCATGATGCTCAGGTTCATTGGCCAATGTGCTGAATTGGCTGGGCCATGGGACATGTTTCAACTGTACTAACTCACACTCCATGACCAGAGCATTTTTCAGCCAGGAATGTTTATTTATCATAATACGTGCCATTCATTTCGTGTTTGCTGTCATGGCACCGTCCCAACTTTGGCTGGACCAATCGCAAACCGTGACAGATTTAGGCAGAGGATGATCTAAGCCCCGTATACACACATGTACTCCAGACCAATGGGTTGTTGGCGGCGGACTTGTCACTGTACACTGCTGTCCTTCGCTGTCCCGGCTTGCTGTTCACTTATGTATGCAATGGTACGTATCAAAGGACAGTTATCTGGCGCTAGTCTTGATCTGTCTCATTCAGATCTTGTCCGCTATCGTTGCTATAAGAGAAAATCTGTGGGTCTGCAGATTTGCGTGCTTCTCTTGCGACGGGCGTATACATGGTACACGGTACATGGTACGTATCAGTGATGCAATACGGGCATTTTGATGGTCTGCCTACAAGTAAACATATGACCCGGCAATGATACTGTTCTGCACAGGGTATCTGGATGAACTGAGGAAGGACGGCGATCAACTGCTGCTGGTGCACATCTTTGAAACACCATCACTACCCATCCTCAGCCTCAAATCAGGATGTAGGTTATACAATCATGTAGCTAAGCTGCTTATTGACGATATTGTTGGTTGGCGGATTGTTGCTCACTATGCTGTCATGGTCAACTTGACACAGTCAACCTCCCCTCGTCCGGAGGCCCCTATTCGAATCAGGGAGTTATCCGGGGACGTCTCACGGCAAGAGTAAATAACCCCCCAGAGTGTGCAACGCTGATCCAGCTCTGCATAGGGTCTTGGTCGAGCGGAATCGGATCTTCTGATGTCCTGTGTACACTCCACACCAGCGCAAGGCTGGTCTCGAGGCAGGGCACCATTGTTTTTGATCCGAGAGTACCCGCGACTCCCCGGGTTCCCCTCAGATGTGTACGGTATTATGGCGCAAAGATCCGATTCCGCTCGACCAAGACCCTATGCAGAGCTGGACAGGCGTTGCACACTCTGGGGGGTTATGTACTCTTGCTCACGGTCTACCGGACACCTTTCTGACAGCTCTTGAGTCCTGGGCTCAGTTCTCAACGAAAACGGCCCTGAAAATAGTGATTAGCATGAAAAATTGGTTACTTGCATGCACCCAGTATGCAAGTCAAGTTCTGAGCTGCTGGTAATTCGAATTTACCTGGTCCCAACCCGCCCGGATAAGAGGAGTTCTATTGAAGTATCCCTGAGAATTCTCATACAGTAAAACGTGGCGTAAGCAACCTCTGGTTTTAACGACCACCTGCCTGCTTTTGACGGCCGTTTTCCATGCACGGACAGTGTTCTACACAGAAACTGCACCGGATACGGCGACCACCTGCCTTACGCGACCAGCCACTGACTTTTAGTGTACCAAGTGCCATATTGGACTAACACACAGCGACCAAAACTAACCAAAAGTGCCATCTTGGCTGGCAGGGTTGACTGCAAAAGGGTGGAAGTGCGCTCTGAACCTAGTGCATGCAGTCTGCAGAAGTGACAACTTGACAAGTGACAGAGCAGGATGCGCCGCATGCACTTGAGTGAGGCGTGCTTTGCAGGCTGCACCGAAGTGTTCTACTTTTATGTTGCACACCTGTCAATATAATATGAGTACATGGACATACAATCAGGCACATGTATGTACACAATCTGATATGCCACGAATGTATGGGACCTGGTTCCAAAGACCACCTTTGCTTGCACCGTGGGGTGGTCGCTTAAACCAGGTTTTACTGCAGTTATCTTGATTATACATCAATGTCAACATGGATTGACATCTACGCATAAGATGTAGGCTGATCTCCAGTTTCGTGACAGCCGAGTTCACTCACTGAGCATCTCCCACAGACCCCCACTTTGCATACCGTTAGGTGCTGTGACGTGCGTGCTTGAGCGTGTGTACAGTAAAACCTAGTGTAAGCGACCTCTGGTTTTAGCGACCACCTGCTCTTAACGACCGTTTTTCCATGCACGGACAGTTCTACACAGACACTGTGGGACCTGGTTCTAAAGACCACCTGGCTTTAGCGACCGCTTTTGCTTGCACCGTGGGGTGGTTGCTTAATTAAACCAGGTTTTACTGTATAATGTGTGTGTGTGCTTGTCTGTGACAGTATCCATTCCATCTGATGTTTGGCAAGCCAAGATCAAGGAGAGCACAGCGGCGGCAGAGAAGCTGATGTCGCAATACGAAGCCGCTTGCATGTCACACAAGGTCAGTGTTAGCCGTGGGCCCTCCAGTGTAGTGAGTGCGATAGCTTGAACTGCTCCCAACAGTCACCAGATCTGCCATGCAGGCACACGGATGTGTCTCATATTGACACATCTCCTTACCAGCGGTGGTCTATTATCATGTCGATACTTTCCTGTTGCAATATCTACAGGTTCTGTAGATCTGGTCTCGAGTAACCATAGTACCGGGAGTTGCGCACAGCAGATGAACTACAATACAGTGCAGGTCAATGTAATTAGCCCCGGCCCTGTGAAGAAGAAAAGAAGCACCACGTTCGCAGTCTAGTGGCTGCAGTGTCAGTGCTGTGCGGATTTCACTGGCTAGATGTGCACTTGCTTGGTGGACAGTTAGTCCTAACTCGTAACATTTTGTCCTTTCTTTTTATCCATAAGCAGTATTCCTTATTATAGGACGTAGCATTAAAAAATCAACGCCGCATTGACGAGATGGTTTGTGCGATGTACGGTGCATGCGTGTGCAGGTTAACTATCAGACAGTGATTCGTAGCGGCGTACCGGGTGAAATGCTGTGCAAGGTGGCAGAGGAGCGCGCCGCGGACTTCATGGTACTGGGCTGCCGCGGCCGCAGCCTGCTACGACGCACGGTGCTCGGTAGCGTGTCGACGTTCACGATCAACCACACCAGCATACCCGTCATGGTGGTGCCGCATCCCCTCAAGCGACGCGAACGCCATTAGCTGTCCGGCCTCGCACGTGCTGGTAACGTTTCTGACGCATTCTGTTCAGATGACGTGTGGATATGGCCATGTCCATAGCCACACTGGTCAGGACGTTCTGGTGGCCGCCGGCTGTAGGAAGTACAGGACATTGTGTTCGACACTGCACTATAGTAGGAGACCACCTTAATTAAATTGTGCATGCGGTGTACACCCATTCACAAAGCGTGGGCCGGGCTTGTCTTCACATCGGCCAAGAAAACATTGATGGCAATCAATAGGAAAGGTGTTAGCTCCCGACACCGCAGCTTGCAATACAATCACTGGGAATTTACTGAGAGATATCGATTTTTATACTGAATTTTAAGACTACTTGTATTGAGTATGATCATGCAAGTACATGTACATGTATATAATTAATCACCATTCTGGATCAAGTATTCGTTGCCCACAGCCCATGGCATACAACGTGGAAAGCTAGGCGGCAGCTGTGAAGAGTGATTGTCACTGTACTACCACTACAGCGAGGCTGAATTCTTCGATAGTACGATTCTTTTGGCGTGCGTATTCTAACCATCTTGTTCAAACCGTTCCACCATTACATTATTTTATTTATATTGAATAATAATTCATGATATCCATCACTGAGTGTGGCATAAAATGCAGCTAGGTCTGCTAACAATCTAGGCTTTGCATGGTGAAGTTGTTTAAAATTGCATGGTCAAAGTGGGAACCAATTGCTGTCAGAAGAGGTTAAAATATGACTTATCATTTGATCTATTCTAATAGGTAGGAAGGGTGTTGTAAACGATTTCAACAAACTCGTGAAAATGAAAGCCAAGGGGGCATTGGAGTCGATTCGAAATGAATTGCCATGGATTCACTTTCTGAAGAGTCACCGATTATTCTGAAGCGGTTGGTTATTAGCCTCTTCAGAAACGAGTTTCCTCTAAACTGCGCAACCTCCTCAGACAGTGTAGTCTAATGCAGTCAGGTATTTGGGGTGGGTTAGCTCAGAAAAGCTTGCATTATTCCTGTGAAACTACCTTTCATATGGAGACAAAGCCTACACATACAAGGGGAGTCCATTTTCCCCGTGGAAGTATGGTTGGAAAATCGCATTGCCATGACGATTCCAATGAATACCGGGTAATTATGGTGAAGCTGGCAGCAACTGTTTTACTGGGGTACATGTACTTCAACTCATCTCTTCTCATATCTCCTGAAAAGTTGAGGACAATTCGAACGCCTCCAATGCTAAAACATCACCGGCAAAGACAGTTTTAAATAGACAGAGTATGCATGGTGTACATCACTGCTGCACTAGAAGGAAGAAAACTTCAAGCAAAATCCTTTTTTTTTAGAGCATGCACCCACTAATCAGGAGGTGTACATGGGCTATGGAATAATATAAATAAAAAGGGCTATATTCAAAATGTAGCTACTGCGGCAGAGGACAATAAAAATAAGGAACAAATGCTCGACAGACAACGACGTATTACAGCCATGCTACGCACCAGGCACAGGCAGGCGAGGAGCGAACGACACAGTGCACAAGCACTGCGACCACCCATGGTACTGGTGTGCTGCTGCCTGCTGGTGTGCACTGCCATAATGCCTGCACCCACCCGGCAGACGTGATGATACATGTAGTAGCTACACTGCTCGGGACAAACGACCAGAAGAAAAACTAGTACAAGGAAAGCAGAAGCGAGCTCGAAACTTGAGCCCACATGCATGTGATCAGTTTCCCCAGGGAAGCGGCGCGGGTGTAGAGAGCTTTAGCAAAGGTAGCAGACAAATATTACACCTAATATATACTGCGATGATTGGATGACTGGTTGATGATTGGCCGAAAAAGCTTGCTGTCTACAGCATTGGGTGATGGTTGGTTATATAGCCGGTCAAACGTGCGGCGCTGGGGTTACTAATCCTCGTCATTTTCATCTTCAGCACTCAATGTCAGATGGTCGGTAACGCGCGTTATTAAACTAATCCCCGTCGTCTTCATCTTCGGCACTCGACGTCAGGTGGTCGGTGACGCGCGTGCACACTTCGACCATGATCTCGTTGAACGCCCGGCTCTGGTCCGAGTACACGTGGTGGCCGGCGCGGCTCACTACGCGCACGTCCACGTACGAGTGCGGCCGCGCGTCCTGCAGCTTGTAGCCGATGCGGCTGTCGATCCAGCTGCGCTCGCCATACAGCAGCGTCATCGGCACGTCCATGTCCAGGTGCTGGATAAGGCGCGGCAGCATCGGCAGCTTGGCCCAGCCAAACGGAATGGAGAGGCTCTTCATCGCCGCCTCGCCACTGCGAAAACAAAACAAAAAAATTGCACAACACACAGTTGTACACATGCACAAAGTCCAGTCGGCATTGCTACAAAAAGTCCAACAAAGAACCACACAACGGGGAGCGTACGCCAGGCGACTGCCTGCTGCCGCCAGCGTATTTCACCGAAATCTTTTGTTCGTGCCACCACCACCACCAGGAGCAGCAACACCAGCAGCAGCAGCACTACTAAACAAGCTTCATACCTACCTTGGCGCTGGCTGTGCATTCAGATGATAGATATAGTCAGTCATAGTGGTGTCATCAAACATATCCTTGTACTTTGACTGAAGATCAGGACGCACCGTGCGCAACATCATGGCTCCTAAACAAGTGGGAGAGAGAGAGAGAGAGAGAGTAAGTTACATTTATAAAGATAGGTAAGTCTAACAAATGAGGACTGAGACCTCTACAACAGGGGTTTTACGCCTGAAAGCAGGTGCATGATTTAACAAGCAGGTTGTCAGTCTAGATTTTATGCGCAGATGGAGAAAAAAGCGCAGAATTTTCGTAATGAGATGAAAAGCAGAAATAATAAGAAAAGATGAAATGAAAGCCTGCTCACAACCCCGCCCAGCCTTGCGAACTGGGTATGGTGGATTAAGAACCCGGGCTCAACGCTCGAGCAAGCGCTCTCCACTCAAGGTGTTCACAGCAATTGATAGGAACTCATATGGGGAAATTATAGAAAAGAAATAATAAGATCTTATAAACGGAGTCCCACATGAGAGAGAGAGAGAGAGGGGGGGGGGGGGAGAAAGGCAGAAAGAGAGAGAGAGAGAGAGAGAGAGAGAGAGAGAGAGAGAGAGAGAGAGAGAGAGAGAGAGAGAGAGAGAGGAGAGAAAGGCAGAAAGAAAGAGAGAGAGAGAGAGAGAGAGAGAGAGAGAGAGAGAGAGAGAGAGAGAGAGAGAGAGAGAGAGAGAGAGAGAGAGAGAGAGAGAGGACACAATCACGACCACGCACACAGCGGAAATGCCCAGACAGCAACCATGTCCTGCAGCTATGGCAGAGGCGGATGTAGAGGGAAGCTCCCCTCTTCTATTCAGCCAATTATAACCAAGAGCCCTGGGGGCAGCACAGGGACGCCCTAGTAGCCTACTGACTTCGACTCCCAAGCATATACAGTCAACTTCGCTAATAACGACTGCGGATATAACGACAGAATTTCCATGCCCAGAGCAAAGTCCCATCCAACTGTAATACATATAATGAGACTTCGGGTATAACGACACTTCGCGAATAAGGACACTTTTCTGATGCCCCGCCGAGTGTCGTTATACGCGAAGTTGACTGTACACAAGCGGGCAGACAGAACTATTCTAACTCAAAGATATGGCCATGCGCGTGTGCGCACGCACACACACCATGTACCATGTACATGTATACGCTCGTCGCAAGAGAAGTACGCAAATCTGCAAATGCACTGGACGTGCACTCACAGATTTTCTCTTTTAGCAACGATAGCGGATCTGATCCTGAACGAAACAGATCAAGACCAGCCACACACACACACTTGTACTTGTTGCTCACTGCCGAAACTGGTCACGTGGGTCTCCCCGGGAGAGGGGAGAGAGACCCAAAAGGAATCTTGGAAAGATGACTCAATTGGCTATTGAACCGCCCAACGGCCGACACCCCCTGAAACCCCCAAAACTCTGGGTGGACTTGAAAATGATCCCACTTATGGGCTCACCACACCTCAGTAAGTGGGTGAGGACAAGGTGCAGAAAAAGGATTGATGGCATCAGGGTATTATGTCCGTCTCGGGATCCAACTGCAGTTACCCCTGCCCCCCCCCCCCCCTCACACACACACACTTGAAAAAACGCTTTCCTTCCGGTACATTGTATGTGGATGCAGTACATGTATCTTACCAAGTGGACCGACTGCCCGCAGTGCCGCCAGTGGGTTGAAGTAGTTCACGATGGGCCGCAGGGCCTGTATCCAACCTGGCAGCTTGCCGCGCTGCTCAATGTGGTTGTCCGGCCGCTCTGGCATGCCCCAGCTGTCTGCCAGTACAAGATGTTCCACACGCGATGGATGCTTCAGTGCATATGCCGCTGAGACGTAACCGCCCAGGCTGTGACCGACTAGAATAAAGGATGCAATGGACATTGTCCGCCTCCAGGCCTCCACAGATGCTACAAACACGTCCTCGATGCTTTGCGGGTCCTCGCCGAAAACAGGCCGAGAGCTGCGGCCAAAGCCAACCATATCAATGGCATACACGACTCGATTGGCAGCGATGGCATCGACATTCTTGCACCATATGCCAGCACCACCTAGACAGGGTGAGAAGGAGAGAGAGAGAGAGAGAGAGAGAGAGAGAGAGATAGAGAGACAGAGAGAGAGAGAGGGCAGGTGAAGTACTGTGAAGCAAGTAAATTGTTTGGGAATACAAGATGAGATAAAACCAGTACCACAGAATGGGCAACAGCAGCTTGATACAAAAAAAGTAGTTGAAAATACAATCATACAATTTTGATTGGGCACGAAGGAACAGTTCCTTGGCATGAGAACACCTGGAGAAAAATGATGCTATTAGTTGCAATAAAGGTAAACCTTGACACCTCTGCTCACTGTTTACGTGCCACCATCACCACAAGTACTACTTCGTAATTACTTCAAGTACTGTTCTGAAGCAGATTATAGCTAGTTACTCTAATTTCAGAAATTTTAGGTGCTCAATATTTTCGGTATGACTATGAGGGCAAAAGGCCAGGTTAGGTGAACAGAAATTTTCGGTACACAGAAGCAGTTCACTATTGGACTATGTGTGTTAGTGCTTGTTCGGTGTATTGAAATTTTAGGTATGAAACAGATGCACTGAAAGTACCGAAAATAAAAGTACACCGAAAATTTGTGAAATTACAGTATACAAAGGCTGCATGCTACTAATAGTATGCTTCAGCACTCTCAGGTGATGGCAATTGGGTTTCAAGAAGCCCAAACAAGACAGCACACCGTACCTGCAAACCCGTGCAACAGCAGGACAGGAGGGTGATTGATGTCGCTGCGGACGTCGTCCCCACCGCGTATCGTTGCCGTGCTAATTACTAAGCCAGTGTCGGTGCGAACCAGTTCTCTCTTCACATGTGCCTTGACATCTGAACGCAGGACATCGTACATGAATTGATAGAACGCAAAAGGTACGGGTTAGGATTGCACCGTTGCGGAGCACCGAAATCGATTCAATGATACTGAGAGCACATGACAGCAAGGCAGTGCGATGCTAGCTTGATCTTACCATCTCTTGCAAGCAAGCACATGCACCAGAACGAGTCGGACATCTCTTACAAGTACAAACATAGCCATTGCATGAAGGTTTGTCCGTTTTTCATGCTCACACACCATACTACAGTGTGTGTGTGTGGGGGGGGGGGGGGGATTATGCAAGGTCAACATTGTACAGACATTCCCCCACAGTTGAGGAGAATACGAACCATTCAGGGTACATTTGCCGCAATGATACATTTTCATGTGCGGGCCCGCCACTGAACACCCGAGAGTAGACCCGTTTAGAAGAGTACATAATCATCCAATATGCGCATTGCAATTGTGTACGCCAGCAGCCAGGGTACATAGTGCACAGTACACCGCACACTGACAGGCAGCGGGGAGTGGTACCTTAGGGCAGGGATCTCTAAACGCAAGCTGCTCAGCAACAGGTGCCGGATCAAGACACGGCACTAGCAATGCACACGCGCACACACACACACTGACTCACATCGGAAGCACTGCCGCTCGGCCTCCTCCAGTATCTTCGCACTGCTGGGTATCCAGAACCAGAGCGGAATGGTCAGCAGTCCAAAGCCAGCCGCACTGGAACGAGAGTGGGCAAACAGGACACATGCGAATGCAAACAGTGTGACTTTCCCTTCATACGCATCCTCAGAGGACCCTATCTCTTTGTCTGTCACCAGTTAATCCTATATATAGGATTAGACTTCAAGACGCATTGGCAGCCTCGGAATGGGCGAAGTGGAAGCAATGTTATTGAAGATGCATATCGATCTTTCCTACAGTGGATATCTTTCTTTAAAATGAATGAATAGAGGTTATCCAATGGCTAAGACCCGAAGGAAAGGTCTCTGTGTGCAATTATTGCTGATGAATTGCAATTACAAGTGGTAGAAATAGACTAGGAGTCCCAGAGATTACGTTATATGGAGAGTGGACCTGTACACTGCACATCGTAGCATTTGCGTGACCATGATTACAGTTTTTACGCATGTCTCTGCTGGAAATACGGCTACAAGTTTCAACAGAATCTGTGAACTGGCGGCGAAGCAACGCTCACAGGCAAATTCGTGAGCACGTTATGCACAAGCCCGGTGCATGCTACAGTACATGGTCCGCACACAGCTAGTAGTCATGCCCAAATTTACTCTGCCCACATCAATATTTTGTCACAAAAAATTGTCGATATTCTGCTTGGCATTTCCTTTCTCCGTCGGTATCTTGCTTTGGTTTTGCTCGAGATAAATGAGTTTCAAGGAAAACTCAACGATAACTGTCGCTGATGACGGCATTTTTGATCGAGCTCCTGCTGCTGCTCAACTTTCTACAAAATGTGGCCATGAGTCTGTTTTGTCCAACTTTTGCGCTCGTTTTCAACCTTGGCGACTGATTGTGTTGGAAAAGTCCCTAAGAAATCTTGGATTTTCCGAAAAGCCCACCAAAACTTGCCGGCAACTTGCACATTCGATATTTTGCTCAAGGAATTGCTAGCAAATTTAGGCTACGACTAACAGCAAGAGTACATAATGTACTCTTGCTAACAGCTAGCCGTGTCCTGTCGCTGCCTCCATACGAGTACGTGTTCATACTGCACCAGGGTGTGATTGTTTATTCGAATCGCCCTACTCAAGTCATAACATTGAAGGTCCCACGTTGCGAGGTGCCATCACATGGCGGTACTTCACAAAAGCATTTTGGATCCAAACTACAGCACTGGCCAATAAAAATTATAATCGGCACAGCGCCGCAATGTGTCGTACAACTGTGACACACATATATGCACGGCTGAGAATGCACAGCCAGTACTGCTTTAATTTAAAAAAATCAACACAGCATCAATTCTTACTCTGGTGGCCGGGTCTTTGGCAACAGAGCTTGACGATGACGGAATGCATCATTCTTGTCGTCACTTTCCGTACTACCCATTGGCTCACGACAAATTCCTACAATGGCACCTGCCCTGCTGGCGAGTCTACTAACAAGATCACTTGCCTCTGAAAATATCCCCCGGTTTGGATTCGCAGGCTCAAATCGAATCTGAGATCGTTTTCTCGTTTGCCTTAGTGTCGGATCAGTATCAGCACCGGAATCGGATGAAGAATCATCTGACTCAAGAGGTAGTACAGGTCGTCTTTGCCTTCGCTGAGGCATGGCCACGGATCGGAGCAAGCGGAGTACGAATGCCCAGGGCCAAGGTTTAGTTTCACAGCTTGGCTTCGTTGACAACTGTACGTGCGTCTGCACTGACTTCACGTGTCACTCCACGTGCAGGTATGATGACAAGCCAAAAGCAACAGTGAGATAGCCTACTTCGAAAGATGAGATGCAAACTCTTACTGACAAACTACTTCAGCAGAGGACAGGGCCTAGGGGTCCACATTCAGGAAACAATTATTACTAAAGTACCTGAATGCCACATTCATCACTAACTGACAAACACAAGTCGGCACTGAGGCTAGGGAAGCAGGCGCAGTACTGTGAATCAATTCATGGTCCAGGAGCTCCAAGTCCAAGAAGTCTTGAATCCGTTCGGAATTTCCAACCAAGCATTGATGTTGCACGTACTGGTAACTACTTACTTTTCGAATGTGCTCGAATCGCAGCCTTTCTTTGCTTTTCTTCTTTCTGTTTTCATGATTTGGAAGAAGACAAAAATAATGTAACAAAAAAAATGCAAAGTCATCCACAAAATTAATTTAAAAAACTTGTACGCACAGAGTCTACCGTACCGCCTACCGGGTACCGGTACCGTACCGCGAGTTGCCTTGTGTCACCATGTCACCACTGGTCACAAGCCGTTGCAGTACATTATTTGCATCTTTTCGTCGTCGCGTCGACGAGGGATTTCCCCGACGCGTCACGGGCCGGACGGCAACGCGTCATCGACGCCGGCATACACACGTATACACGTGGCCCGGCCGGCCTGGCCTGGTACTCAAAACAAGAAAACAAACTACGAGAACCATGAAAAAGTCAAATGAATCCATCAAACTGGATATTTTACCAGCTCGGCCGGGAAGAGTCAGTTTGTTTGTTCTCTGACTCCTGTCATCCTCGAACTCCTCAGTAAAAAGGAAGTGAGACAGGCAGATGAAAAAACTAGGTAGGTTTTTATTGATTGAGTTGGAGTTGGACCAAATGAGGCTGGCCTGCGGACTCTTTTCGGAGAAGCCTGATCCGAAAGTTTGAAACGTGATCCGAACTGCAGAGGCTAGGGTCTGGTGACTGTTCTGTCTCCTCAAAGACTTAAGTACACTGACTAGTTTGGAACGATCCGGTCGACCTATGTCCTTGACTGCTCTTTCAGGCTAGCAGCCAGTCTGCGTGACGTCCACGCTCTTGCTTCGGCATGGATTGAGGTAGCCGGGCCACCGATAACTGACCGCAGCGATTGTGTTTGTAACAGAGCTTCAAGTCGACCCGGTCGAAGTGTTAGTTGGTGTTTAGAGATGCAGAGGCAGCATTGTCGATGCTTCGATTTCAAGCTGAGCACTTGGACCCGAAAGCAAGATTGCACGCGCGGAAAAGAATGGCGTAATGGTATCCTCTCTGTTTAGTAGTGTTTACTTGTCTTTGTCTTTGCGCTGTCTTTGTTTCCTTCCGTACATTTTCAGATTGTGAGTGGTGGTTCTATCGGATAGAAGCGGAGCATGCTAGCAGTTCTTACTGTTGTAGCCGCTACATATACACGTAGTTGACGACCTGCCTCAAGTGGTCAAGACTACAAGTACTTAGTTCTGGATATTCTGTTAGTGTTGCAAATAATTAAATATTTAATTACTGGAGCAGTGAACCAGCCAAGCTCAGGCCGGAATGAGTTGCAGTTGGCATTGCGCCGCCCAGGGACGACGCTACTCAGTGGCTACGCTTCTGTCATTCAGATATGGGACTGGAAGGCTTGGCCAAGGTGTGTCAGCCTGCACGTGGACAAGGCCCCTGTCAAATAATAATTTTGTGATTGGTGGCCACGGCAACAGGAATTGCGGCAGCAGTGCAAACAGTAGCGGTGTTGGTGAAATTGTAGCGCGCAGTCAACTTCTAACGCCAGCCGAGAAGAACACGTTCTGGCAGAATGGGTTTGTTGTGCTGCCATCGTTCCTCAACATGTCAGTGGTGGACGAACTGCGGCATGTTTTCCCTCGCCTTTTCGCTGGTCAGTTCTCGACCGGTATCTACCCAGACGAGTGGCACTGGCGAGAGGGGATAAGCTTGCCAAGCGCCTCGCGTGAGATCTGCAATGCCTGGAAGGCCGATCACAGCGTACGCCGCGTTATCCTCTCGGAGTTGATTGGGCGCTTGATCGCCGACCTGATGAACTGGAGCGATGGCACTCGTATTGCACAGGATGACGTCCTGTGGAAGCCAGCCGGCGGTACCGCAGTCGGCTTTCATCAAGATTCGCGCTACATCAGCGAGCAGTTTGTGCCGTACGAGAACAATTCAGTGACGCTGTGGATGGCTCTGGATGATGCTGATAGCGAAAATGGCTGTGTGGAGTATGCCTGTGGCTCTCATAGATGGGCAAGGCATGATTCAAGGAAAGCTGATAGCGTTGCCCAGGAGGGGTTCCACGCTTCGTCCGATGCGTACGATACTCCAGTTCACCGTGCCGCCGAGAAGGCTGGCGTGGACAGAGCGCAGGTGCGTATAGCTGGCACTGCCGTACCGGCTGGTGGTGCCATTCTGCACCATCAGGATGTGTGGCATGGCAGCCAGCGTAATAAGAGCGCGGCCCGTCTGCGCCGAGCACTGGTTGGCCACTACATTCGGAGCGATGCACGCTTCCGGGAGTCACCGCACCCGACCTACATATATGGTCGTTATAAGCTGGCTGACTCCACAGCACTTCACGATTCATTCTTTCCGCTAACCTTTAGGCCCCGGTTATGACATGAATGCCTTGAAGACCTTTTACAAAGATCTATCTTATGTGTTATTTGAAGTATATGACTTTTCATCAACCACCACACCATAACTGCGCTCTCCAGCCGACCTTGACACGTTGCCGCTGCATGCCACCAGCAAAGCGACACATCTGTATCCATATACTTGAAGTATGTTTAAATATATGAAGGCATTTTATTTATTTCCCCCCCACCTACAACTGCTGGGATTATTCTGAGCAGATTTCTTATACACTCTTCCTATCAAGTTTTTACTGGCTTCGATCCGCCATGAGGTCATGTTGCGATGACCTCCAATTGTCCCAATGAAATGACATCGATGTCAGCATTCCCTAGGTTCGAAAATAATCTTGGTGGCTGTGCTGAGCAAGCATGTTTTTTTACTGAGCTTTTGTACGACTTTACTTTTGCAATGTCCCCCCTGATTCATAGCTGCATGCATTGGTCACCGCTTCTGGAGGCTGCTTGTCCTGTTCTTTTGTATGAAGGAATTCCTTTCCTCAGTCAACTTGATTTCATATTCTTCATACGTTATCCACAAATTATAATTATCCTCATATCAACTTATCCAATATCTACAATCACAATCACACCCTCTCTCGCTCAACATTGATACCGGCATGCAGTATCGATACCCAGGGAGTCGTCAAGTATTTGACGACTCCCTGATCATACCCTATGTCAACTTTTCCTACTAATATGTGTGTGTGGGTGTGTGTGCACGCGCATCTTGCTGCACAGATGCTCTTCATGGTCATGAACTCAGTTTCGTTTCCGGTTCGCAGTACAGTAGAGTCGCGCGTCCAAGAACGTTGTTTCCAAGGGGTTAGCCTGGGATGTTCTTATTTTTCAGCACTCTGGCTGCGTTCTTATTGCACATTCTAAGAAACAATCCGTATTGGATCATATGTATCCCACAACCTGCCAGATAATCAACCCCGCCGTTCTTAGCTTCAGGCTGTGGCGTTCTTATTCTTAACATTTCAGGCTGGACGTTCTTGGGCTCCACGTTCTTCGGCGCGCGACTCTACTTTAGGGCATGGGGCAATACTGGCAGGATGCCCTGCTGTTTCTGTACAGCGCCCTTGTTTTGGATCTATAGTGTGTGATTCTGCTAACTTCTTGAAGTGTTATGGACTCTTGCGGGTATATGACTGTATCCATAGCCTGGTATTAGTGTTGACATGCATAGAAATACTAGTACCTGAAGTCTGCAAAATCCCCCACCCAAAAAAGTCATACCGGTATGCCACGACTTTTATACACATTAAATTATTTAATAGGGACCATGATTATCAATCGTTTATGGGTGGATGGGTCAAGGAAAGTTTCGTTATGAAAAATATCGATAGCCGAAACATCAATCCATTCTATATCTATAGCTGTCCAGTCAATATATTTTTCGTTCAGGTTAGGGTCATAACTAAACTTGTTTGTGTCGTGAAAATTATCGATCATGCCGGATGACCCCTTACGGTATCAAAGTTACAACAATATGCGGACACACACAGTGTTCATAGCAAGAGGTGGCATTGCGACAGTTCTATTTCCAAGAAATCGAATTGGGCAGCGGGGGTTTCCCCACTTAGGAATCCATGTAACCAGGTGTGCGGTGTTCTTAGCTGTGTACAACTGCAAGGGTCAAGGACCTAGCCAGGCAAGGTCAGAAAATTAGGCACACCGGAACGCTCTGCAGGAGGAAATAACTGTTATGTCACAAGTTATGTGGAACAAAGTAAAAAATCACTCCCCTCAAATGCTCCACATGCACACCACACAAACAATGAACACGAATGGGTGCTTTAAAACCCAATATGTCGCATCAACATCGAGATATGCACGAACATCGTCAAAAAGAGAACATGCAGAAGAAATCTGTGCGTATTATAAATCTCGATGATGAGATCGAGTCAGCATAAACAAATCCTTGCAGGTGGGAGAAGAAAAAAGTTGGGATAGTGTGACGACCTCAATAAAAGACAGGCAAGTAAACATAGAATAGTTTCCGAGTAGATGCTACATGAGCCAGAAAGAAATGAAGTAACACAGCAGCACAGGTAGACGGCAAGGAAAACGAGGCGGACACCATACACTACCGATATATCTTCAGCAATCTGCTTTGAAATACGATAAACAAGTCGAGCGTTTCACAGAAAAGAGAAAGTTAACAGCAGCATCTTCAAGTTTATTATCCTAACGAGAAAAGAACGGCTGCAGCTCGCAGTGCAACCTAAGACAAATAAGAAAAAGAAAGAAAATACTAACAAAGCATCAGTAGCTGCAACTGTGTTGCACCAACAAAACGAATAAAGGGGAAGAAGAAACCTCAAGGTCCACTGGGCTGTGGGCGAATACAATAAACTTTGACATGGTCCAGCTAACTAATTGATACTCAGCAACTCCACCTTGAGACACCTGTCTACTTGGTACGGTCCAATGTGGCAGGAAGCTGTACTAGGCAGTCAACGGACACCGAGGTCGAACACACAGCAAGCCAGACCAGGTGGAGATGAACGTGACCTAAGTCAGCGTGTCTGGAGCCAGAGGTGCTGTTGGTGAACAGCGTGAGAGTCTTCACACTCCAATGCGCGCAGCACGACAGGGACAACAGAAACTCTTACGCACAGGCGAAAGATGCCAACAGGGTCACCTGCTCTTTCGGATTATCTAAACTGACACACGGATAAACTGGTTGCTCGTCAAGAAGATCTGATGTCTTCACCGACTCGTTGTTCTTGAACCACTCGATCTTTCTTGCATCCAAATCGATTTGTACAGAAATGATGTCTCCAGTGTCGTAGGCGCGCTCCGCTCGATTCATGTCTGGACCGTCGGAGGTCTCTTTCTTGCCAGTGAGGAGTGCACCATCACTACGCAACGCCAGCTCTCCTTCACGGAACGGATGCGGAGTACCATCGAAAACTTGGGGACAACCCTTCTCCTTTCTATCCGTCGTTACAACTCCGATTTGCATCCAACTTCGAATTCGAGACAAGTCCACAAATACACTAAATGCAAAGCGGCCTTTCTCCAGAGCTGTCGTCTTCAGTAAGGTAGTACTATAGCCTTTTCCCATGTAGGCCGCCGTCCGATTTCCATTGGATAAGTCTACTTTATCTTGTTTAGTGTCTTCATCAAATTCTACGTCGCCATCCGGACCTGTGTTTCCTGCAGCTTCCTTGACCCATGCTCGGAGTTTGTTGTTGATGTCCTCAGTCAACCTCTTATCAGGTGCTTTCGCATGCTGAGCGGCTGGCTGATCTGCAGACACAGTAGATCCACAGCCGCCCATTGCATTCTAAGAACCAGAATGCTATCCCCTTCAAAGTTGTCCACGTCCAAGAGCGGTCCCAGAGGTGAGGATTACGCCAGGCGGGGAGTGGCGCTTAGACGTACCTCAGCAACAGCTCTGAGACTCAGCAACGGAGGTCTGGCAGAAGGACACTATTCAAGGGCCACGAAGAACATTTGAAATAAAATCTCGGAAGCAAAGTGATAGCGAGAAGACGGCCAAGCACACACACACAAATCTATTTTGATCAGTTGTCGTCCACTCTCATTCGAACGTTGTTGTTCACATCGACAAGCAGTTGGTTGTACATCCAGGGCGGACCTGATCACTGGGCGCATGCGCCGGTTCGTATTGCCTGGCAACAAAAAATGGCGGGGGCAATCCTACTCCTTTTGCTGCCTTCGGGGATCCATACCAAAGTGGCCCCGCCGTATCGAATGACTGAACAAGCACGAATCTCTCTTCTTCGTTCAAAAAATAACCGGGGTGACCTGTGGCGCATGGCACGAATCAATGAACCACGCTTACACAAGCATTTTTCTGAACAGCATTCTGCTCCTTTACTAACTAACTAAGACTTGGCCTTCACCGCTTTCCCCTGGAAATCTAGCTAGTTACACACGGTCTGAAATGTTTCTGTAGTGCGAGCGGAGGCAGAGTTGTTGAGGTTTTGCCAGTGCCATGGCTCGACGTTTTATGTCTCGTGTTCAGGCATTTCTAGTTGATGTCTTCAGCATTGCATTATGGAAGGGCGAACGAATTCGTTGCTGAATGGAAGGATGGAAAAAACTAGTTGGTCAGTATTATGTGGAGGCGAGGCGCCACCAGTGTTTCATGTGAATGGAGGTGACATAGATTTGTGCTGGAATGAAGTCGTAATAGGTCTGCCGAGTCATTTCCTGTTGTTATTTGTTGCGACCGCTATCTGTTTGTTCCCACCAAGTTCAAAGGGGCCCGTGACAGGCCTGTTCAGAGTCAGACAAGTCGTTTGTATTTTGCTAGTACTGGCTCCATTATGCTGCGGAATCAGCTGGTGGTTTCTCGTTCACAATCGTCCTCCTGTGGTATGGATGTCGTTCTGCCTGCAAATGATCACGTACCTGTCTCTTGCGCTCAGCACGCGGTGTACATGTGCACTTCTCTTGTCAGCCAATGTGTGGCAGCTAGCGTTCATCAACCTTGCATGGTTCATGGCATTCAGTTCTGCAGCGTTTTCTGCTGTTCTGGCCGCGAGCCATGCACTCCACTCTACAGACTTTTACAGGAGTGCATATGGCCTTCCGTACAGCGTATCCACCTTTGTAATTGCCGGGCTACATCTGTGTTACCTTGTCACGCTAGCCATCGGTTTCTTTCAGAAGCCCCAGTATGTGGATGGGTCCCATCGGGCCGTTCAACGGCGACTTGTACGAGTTGGCGTTCAGGACTCGGGCGAGACCGAGCCACTGCTCAGCCGCTCCTTCTCTGATTATGACACCGTGCGCAGTGGGGATAGGCATGGTGGGGTCGAGCAACTCTCTGTGTGTTCAGAGGAGGACCGGTCAAGTCTGGCTGCGGTGGTCATGTTCACCTGGATGAAGCGTACACTAGAGCTCGGCTGGAAAGGCGAATTGAAATCGGCAGACGATTTGGATACGCTGCCACGAGCGCTGCAGACTGGAAGTGTCCGTGCACGCTTTGATCGACATCTGGGCGTTGCGATTGAGCAAGCGTTTACTCTCGACCGAAAACGAGGTCAGCTGTCCGGCAAGCCAGCGTACTCATCGTCAACATTCAGCCTGCTGCGGTCGCTGAACAAGGCGTTCGGCTGGGATTATTATCCGCTGGGCTTGCTGCGGTTTGCATGCGACTTGCTTGGTTTCGTTGGCCCCATACTTCTGCACGCCCTGGTGGTGTTCATCGAGGACAAGTCGGTACGTCGCGTGCTGGGTAGATAAGTGGATATGGGTCGCACAGTTGACACAATAGTGAAACTCCAGTATACATGTACCGTATTTCCCCGATTGTAGGTCGCACCTTTTACACTAAAAATCAAGGGTGAAAAAGGGGGTGCGACTTACAATCGAGCATGACTTACAATCGAGCATGACTTACTACTGCACTCAATATATCAAAACAATATTGCTCAAACCTGGAAATTGGGGTGCGACTTATAATCGAGTGCGACCTTTGATCGGGGAAATACGGTAGTTTGTAGAACCCTGCTTATTCCATCCTGTGCCTTGTACAACACTTCTGTCTACATTAGAATGTAAAGTCCTGAGGACTTTCTCATTGTCCGCAAACTGTAACGCAGCCACTTACGCATGTATGAAACTTCACTCCGAGTAATGGTCTTTTTTTTACTGCGAATCACGTGAATATAATTATACTAGCAGCACCCGGCCAGCGTTGCCTGGCGAACGTGGCATGCGGGTAAAGCAAGTACATGAACAGCACACGTGCTCAGCACGTGGTGGTGGCTACACGATTCGCACGCTTCGCGTGCTCAGTGCTTCTGTGGCTGCTTCCGCTAGCTACACGATTCGCACGCTTCGCGTGCTCAGTGCTTTTGCGGCCGCTAGCTACACTGTTCGCACGCTTCGCGTGCTCAGGGCAGCGCTGCTCCGCAGGATGGCCTGAGCGTAACACACAGACACACGTCACAGGTGCCTCTTCTTTATAAGTACCGTATTTTTCCGGTTGTAAGTCGACCTTTTACGACTTAAAATAGAAGGAGAAAGGGTGGGGGTCGACTTACAACCGGGATTCGACTTATAACCGGGAACTATCAGAATCTTACAAAAAAATGACCTGCACTGCATGCACGAGTGCACTATGTGTACACATTTTTCCAGTTTATTGGTCTTTTGAAGGATTGGGATGTTATAACCTCAATTAAGGAATGTTTACATGATTTGTTGATGTGTTAATAGCAGGAAGTGGTTAATAGTGCTTCTTTGGGTGAAAACTTTAAAACGCAGAATTGAGACCTCCGGATACGGGGGTCGACCTATAACCGGGGTCGACTTACAACCGGTAAAATACGGTAAAGATTCCACCAGATTTATGGGCTTGGCCCGAAAAATTCGTGGAATATGAATTGATATGATTCGCAGTGCAGAGACCATTATTGGAGTGTTGGACTGAAGACCTTTAGCCTAGGACTGTTAAGACTTCCTAAATATATTAATTGAAAACATGGAACACAGCGAGGCACAAGTTATGCATTAGAATCCACCAACAACAATGTAGACCAGATTTCGAACAGTCAGACATGCACGATTTGGCACAAAAGGATTACTCAGTACTGAGACATTCCACGGCATGACAGTGAGCTGGAGCACTGGATTTGAGTTTAGCTGTTGGATAACCCACCCGTCAGATGACTGACCGCTGGATAAGCGATATTCAACTGTACTATTTTCTCTCGGTGGTTGTGTTTATTCTGTCCCCGCAGAATAACACGGACAAAATCCTAAAATTATGCGCATAATTATGTGGGCGAAAATAGGCCGTTATGCGGCAAATATGCGGGATTATGCAACAAATATGCGGGGATTACCGGTATGCGGTGTAATGCGGTCGTTGTGCACGAGTTATCTGTCCTTGGTACAACTTTAGCGTACAGTTTCTTGCAAGTATAAGACTTTGTCCTACAAACTCATGGGTGGGTGCGACTTTGTTGTGCATTTTCAGCATCATGTACGATTTTCTTGTACATTCCCATGGATCACGCGGGTTTTATGCAACATTTCTCGAAAACGCGGAAAATTGCTCGTTCGCGGAATCGCGGTATCCTGTGCTGACAGTTTATTGACGAGTTTTCTTGCCCTTATGCAGCAGTAAGTCTGTCAGAACTGGCGCTTGGCCCCTCTCTGTCTGTCTGTCTGTCTGTCTGTCTGTCTGTCTGTCTGTCTGTCTGACTGTCTGACTGTCTGCTTTTCTGTTTGTTCTCCCTAGGAACCTATGGCGCATGGCTATTACTATGCAGCTGGTCTCCTGGTCTCCACACTGCTGGTGGCACTGCTTCAAAGTCAGTTCTCCTTTAGAGTCAACAAGGTATTTCTTTCGGGGGGAAACAACTGTTCGGGTTTGCCTTGAAAGATGATGGATGTGGCGGTTCTACCGCCTCATGGTTTTCTTTCAGAGCCTGGCATTTAGCTAACTACGTGACATACTGCTAGTGGCAGGACAATTATGCCGCCCTTTCTGGTTGGTTTGTCCATAGCTGGGTTAAGCTATGTACCCAGCACTGTCTCCTTGTTATTGAACCCTGCATGCACTCCCACGTACGGAGCAACACGCGATTCTTCTACTGTTGAAGTCATTACCACTTTTTTAAAATACTGATTGACAGGAAATTATTACTGCTAGTCTGGCTTTGGAAAATTTATTTTTCATTGCTATCAGGTTCGGCCTCATTTCCACTGTGCTGCGCTGATGAGTACACAAAGGACGAAACAGTTCTGTCCGCAGATTGATTATTACTAGTGTATATTTTCAGCACATGGTGTATAACAAGGTGCAGAATATTGAATGCAAAGAAGTGAGGGTGGTGCATCAACCATAGGAGGCGACTGATGTGCATCGGTCACGTTGCTTGCAGCTATCTTGTGTGGCTCGTCATGGTTAGTTGCCGTTACTGGTGGAGTACATCTCCATAGTTTTGGTTGTCCTGTTTTAAAATACTGGCTGTGTGTGTGTGTGTGTGCGTGTGTGTGTGTGTGCGTGTGTGTGTGTGTGTGTGTGTGTGTGTGTGCGTGTGTGTGTGTGTGCGTGCGCATGTGCGTGCGCATGTGTGTGTGTGTGTGTGCACGTGCGCGCGCGCGCGCGTGTGTGTGTGTGTGTGTGTGTGTGTGCACGTGCGTGTGTGTGTGCACGTGCGTGTGTGTGTGTGTGTGTGTGCACAGGTAATGGTGGCAATGAGAGCAGCACTAGTAACGGCAGTCTATCGCAAGGCGCTGGCCGTTGATTCGGTGAATCTCGGCGTGTTTACGACTGGCGAGATCGTCAACTTGATGAGTACGGATGGCGATCGTGTTGTGAACTTTGCCAACAGCTTCCACACCTTCTGGAGCTTGCCGTTTCAGGTTGCAGTCGCACTCTATCTACTGCATCAACAAGTGAGAATTTGAGGACAAAAGTGCCTCTGGGTATATTAACTTAGAGCGAATGGGTTATCTTTTCATTTCTGTTTTTGTCATGGTGGGTTCGTTGTGCCTCTTTGACTGCCAGACAGGTAGCAGCATTGTTGGAGGGTCAAAGCGTTCTTGACCTATTCTCTTTGCTTGCAGCCCTTACTTTTTCAGACTCCGAGCACGTGTGATTGTATTGTATTGTAGCATGGAGCTTTGTCAGGGATACTGTTGTTCCACTGTGGATGATGCATACCTTTTCCACGGGCACCGGCATTGTTGGACGGGTAATTCTTTCCCTTTTTGCAGCTCTGGGCCTTGAGTCTCGGCGCGGTCATTAGGGAGGTTCCGGAGTACGATTTTTTGTGCCAAAATCCGTAGAGGCTCTACGGATTTTTTATACGTCGTTTTCGAGCAGTGAAATGTTCCGGAGTACGGAACTTATGTGTTTGCCGTCATTGCCTAGGTTACGATCGCAAACACGTCACATTCCCGCGCTATGCCGTTATACTTTAAAAATTTGTACCGAAATCAAAACTTCCCGCGAAAAATCGATGTTTCTCGTACCAAATTTGTACGCGAAAAATCTTTCTGCACCCGATGACGCAAAATCTCCATACGAAACATGGTTCGTATGAAAGCCAGTCCACACGGATTCTTCGTGCCGAAAAATCGTATGGAGCACCCCTGGAAAAAATCCGTAGCGCCCATACGGATTTTGGCACGGAAAATCGTACCCCGGAACCTCTCTTTTTGGTATTATTCCGTGGTGCTGTGTAGTTGGCAAACTCTGCGTTGGGGTTGCTTGCAGGTCATGTCCTCTTTTGTAATTTGTTGATGCTCCTGTTGTGAATCCGTTACGCAGGTAGGCCTTGCATTCCTGGCTGGCCTCGGCTTCAGCTTGGCTATGATACCGATCAATCGATTCCTGGCGAACAAGATTGGCTCGCTTAGCCAGGCTATGATGGAGAAGAAGGACGGCAGAGTGAAGGTATGGCACACAGTAGCCCACTGGCCATGGGATGCTTTGTCGTTATTTTCGCGGAACCCGCTAAGTTTCGCAGGTGTACTACTGGAGACCGTATGCATCTACATGTACATGTGTCACGTATTCAGTTCTGGCTAAACTGGACTCCCCCCCCCCCCCCCCCCCCCCCTGTCCTACTGATGTTCCTTCGAGACTTCCTTACGGTTGGCTGTGCATTGTCTCTCTATGTGTGCTCTCTCTCTCTCTCTAACTCTCTCTCTCTCTCTCTCTCTCTCTCTCTCTCTCTCTCTCTCTCTCTCTCTCTCTCTCTCTCTCTCTCTCTCTCTCCTCTCCCTGGCCCGGCAAGATACATATTGTCAGACTGGCAAATTCACCACACTTTTGTCTTCTACTTTGCAGGCTGACAATCTTCTGACTCTTGTAACTTGGAAGCTAGGTTGCTCAAGCTGTGCGCGTGTTTAGCTTGCTCTGTTCCTGTGCTGTTGGACCTTACTTGGTTGTTGTCTATCCTAGGTCATGGCTGAAATCTTACGTGGCATACGCGTTATCAAGTTCTACGCCTGGGAGGCTGTGTTTGGAGGAAAGGTGGAGAAGTTACGGTGAGCGAGGTGGGGCACATGAGGTATATTTGTTGTTGTTGTTGAAGTTTATTTTATTGTCTTGTGTAGTATGTACTACCCTGTTGTCGTGCAGGCTACTGTATACACTTCTGAGCAAGAACGGACAGTGTCACCTTGATTTTTTTGAAACTTTTGAACTTGACCCTGGTATAGATATACTCGCTGCATGTGTGTGCGCGCGCGTGTGTGCGTGTGTGTGTATGTGCGTGTCTGTCTGTCTGTCTGTCTGTGCGTGTCTGTCTATGTTCATGCTTGTATGCATGTATGTACTGTACACAGAGAAGAAGAGCTATCCAATCTGAAAGGACGCAAGTACCTGGACGCGCTGTGTGTGTACTTATGGGCGGCCACGCCTGTCATGATCTCACTGCTGACGTTTGGCACGTATGTTGCACTGGGACACAAGCTAACGGCAGCCAAGGTAGGTTAGTGCTGTCAGATGTTGTCTTTGCGCCTGTGCCGCTCTTTCTCTCTCTCTCTCGCTCACACTCTCACTCTCTCTCACACTCTCTCTCTCTTTTGTTTTGTCCTTTCGCTCATCTACCCACGTGCTTACCTCTTGTCATCCTCTTTGTTGATAAAGCTTTCAGAAAGCGTCTAATCTAATTCATGCCCTTTTTTCGTTTTTGTCTGATTGTTTTTGTCTTTGATCTGCTTGTTCAGGTGTTCACCAGTGTTGCTCTGTTCAACATGCTGATTACGCCACTGAACGCCTTTCCCTGGGTGCTGAACGGCCTGATGGAGTCCTGGGTGTCTGTTAAGCGCCTGCAGGCCTTCTTCACCTTACCGCAGGTGTGCTGGAGTCGCTATTATGTACAGGCCGGCGATGATGACGATGAGGCGGCGACGGCGAGTGAAGATGGTGGGTGTTGACGTGCCTGAGAACTACTTTAGATTGTGAATTGCGTATTGACAGTGTCACATTGCTTTCAACTTGAGACTAGTGTGACCACTACAACTAGGACCAGAGTGTGTCACTGGATAAGGAGACCACCTGTACACAGCGACCACGTTATGAACGTCCATTGAGTGGTCGCCTTAGACAGGCTTCACTGTATCTGGTTAGGAACTGCGTGCTTTATTTGGTTGTTGCCGATGCAGCTCTGCACCTCTCCCGTGCTGAGTTCTCCTGGTCGGCAAGCGAGCTGGCCTCCACTGCCAAGCGACGCTACTTGTCTGGCAATTCCAAGCCGGACGATGGTAACGAGGCGGCTGATGAGGAGAGCACTAATTCTGGATCTCGCTTTCATCTGGCTGGCATTGATTTCAAAGCATCCAAGGTATGTAGACCTGTACATGCACCCCAAGCATTAGTAGCCCCATACTATGTGAGACTTGTAATTTCGAGCTTTGCCAAATGCGTGTGGCGTCACAATGACGTAACGTTAGTACGTCTGGCTGAGCCAGGGTTAAGCTGCCTGTATCGTGTTTATTGGTTTGATTGAAATTTTTCTTGTTCACATCTTAGATCTACCACGTCCCCAAGTAATCACGTGACCTCAGCTGCAATGTGTGGCACCCTTTTAGTATCGTATCGAAATTTATGCATTTCAGCAATCCAGGCAGGTCTCTGCATAGTGCCTTGCTTGGCGATGTGAAGTGACTTGCTGCATGTTGATGTGTTGAATATCTTAGTGCAGGGCTGGGTGTTGATGCTAGAGCGACACACAATTCCCTGAGTATTGCCAAAGTCGCAACAACCTCTTCATCACATAGTTTTTTTTTGTTGCCATTTTCTCTACTCCATGCGCGCCATCCAGGGCCACTTGATTGGTGTTGCTGGTAGCGTTGGCTCCGGAAAGAGCTCTCTTCTGGCGGCCATTACGGCAGAAATGAGTCGTGCGGATGGACAGGTGAGTGCCACGTCAAGGGTATGATTTACACAATCATACTTGTTCAAGACCTTGTGCACGTACACAATCATACTCGTTCAAGACCTTGTGCACGTACACAATCATGATACGTGTTCCAGACCTTGTGCATGGTACACAGCCATACTTGTTCAAGACATGTACACAATCATACTTGTTCAAGACCTTGTGAATGTACGCAGTCATGGTATGTGTCCAAGACCTTGTGAATGTACATAATCATACTCGTTCAAGACCTTGTGCATATGCTAAAAGCCATTATGTCACATGACACACACTGATGGAGACTGATCGCAGGTGGATACTTCAGGCGAACCTGATCTCAGCAGTCGTTTAGTGGGCGCATAATACTAACTCTTTCTATGCCAGAGGTGAATGTTCCTGCCTTGCCTTTCGTTTGAGTCCCCAGGCAAACTACTAGTGCAGCGCGTCTGGGATATTGCAGTGTTGCTAATAAGTGACAGCCGCCAATCATCAATAACAGTGAGAAATAGTGCCCACTGTTCAGCACAGTATGCCCAGTACGCCAAGGTTGGCTATGGACATGTTGGAACTATGGGCACGGTTTACTTACCTGGTGGAGTTTTGTTATATCTGAGCATCATACTCACGGTCTTTGCATCGTACACTTCATTCACGCGATATCTCCTCCGGGAGCCGCACAGGGTTACAGCGGGTCGCATAACACCTACTTGTCTGATGATGTCTTTGTCACTTCGGTTGTTGTGCCCTCTGCTGTTTGTAATTGTTTGTGTGTTCCCTTCTCCTCCACTTGTTCTGTACTGTGCAGGTGTATAGCGGCTATTTGCAAGACGGCTTTGGCCTAGTTTCACAGGTCGGTTTACTAGTATTACTACTACTGTAGTTTCACGGATAATTGTCGGTGTACTTTTCGTTTCATTTATTTTGCTGCATCTCTATCATACTGGTACCTAAAATTTCAATAGCCAAACTTTTGAAACAAACACTGACACGCATAATCCAATAGGAACCTGCTTCTCTGTACCTAACATTTCTCTTCATTCTAACCTGGTCTTTTGACCTCATTTGTAAATTTTGAGCACCTGAAGTTTCTGTAATAGAGTAATATATTTTAAAATCCAGAAATATTTGCACACGGGAAATTTCGTTCCTTCAGCTTCCACTGCCTCTTTGTATACGTAACACATTCACACAGCGAGAATGAGACAACGCAGTATGAGTCACACTGTTATTCGTGAATACTGCACTTAATGCATGGGTCGTGTTCAAAGTCGGGTGTCGGGTTTGTACAGCCACTGTTGAAAATACATGACTGTGCTTGCTTGTCTTACTTGTTGCTCCTGCAGGAGACCTGGTTACAGCATGCCACAATCAGAGACAACATCTTGTTTGGAAAACCGATGAACCCAGTGAGGTACCAAGAGGTGCTCCACGCATGTGCCTTGCAGGAGGTCAGCATACATTTGTCACAATATGTGTGTGTGTGTGTGTCTCTCTCTCTCTCTCTCTCTCTCTCTCTCTCTCTCTCTCTCTCTCTCTCTCTCTCTCTCTCTCTCTCTCTCTCGCTCTCGCGCGCGCGCACACATGCGTGCTCGCTTGCCCCCGCCTCTCTCTCTCTCTCTCTCTCTCTCTTTCACCCCCCCCCCCCTCCCTCGTTCTCTCTCTCCATGATCAATCACCCTTGTCCCTTTTCACTGTGGAGTGATACACATCTGTGGTGGTTAATGATGGACGGCCAACTCGTAGCGAGAACATGGCTACATCATCAATGAGAGGAGTATCTTATCACGTAAGATCATCGTTTTCATGTACTGTCTATTCATCTTTGTGCTCTTCTAATGCACCTGGCACTGATCTATGACGTGTTCGTTCAGGATTTGGCAGTTTTGCCCGCTGGTGATCAAACGGAGGTCGGGGAGAACGGTGTGACGCTCAGTGGCGGTCAGAAGGCACGCATATCCCTGGCCCGCGCTGCGTATCAGGTATGGGACAGGTCTCATTGCAAGGGACGGCGTGTGCTCTTTGTCATGCACATTCTGGATGCAATTAAAAAAGCAACTCTAGTGCTTGTCTCGAGTGCTGTTCAGGCCATTGGAAGACACAATTGCCTGGACCTGACCGATATTGATTACTAGTACTCTGTGCCCTGTTATCGCACGTTCTGACTGCTTATTATCTTCTTACACTCGTGGATAGTTGCTTCATAACTCGTTCCCATGTGATTTCTTTCTTCTATAGTATGCTGTGATTCGACATTACCCTGTGCCTGAGCTCCGCTATGGTTGTTTCAGGTTGTTGTGTTTTGGGCATGCCCTGTGAACGTACAGGTATGCTGTCAGCTATGCGTGTGATGAGTGCTAAGCTACCTTGTCTCGTGGTGCATGTACAGTAGACTGTAGGACCGTGCTTCAGCGTACTGCTGTTACATGTGTGTTGAGGCATGCGTGCAGTTCGGGTGGGAAGACCTCCAAGGCCAGGCATCTGTGTCCAATGCGGGGGCTGATCAATTAGCTCTGGTTTTGACTGTTACAGTGTAGACTGTTGATAGTGATGAATGAAAGAAAAGAAGTATGGCTTTGCTTTGCTTACATCGTATGTATGTACATGTGCGTGCCTGCCTGTCTGCCTCTGTCTGTCTGTTTGTTTGTCTGTCTGTCTGTCTGCCGGCTGGTTGATCTGCTTGTCTGTTGTGTGCAGGACAAAGACATCTACTTGTTGGATGATCCGCTGGCGGCCGTGGATGTGCATGTGGCGCAACACCTGTTCCGCCGTTGCATTGCCGGCCTCATGTCCACAAAGACGAGGTGAGCAGTGACATGTGCAGCCAATATATGACTCAGAACAGTGTGCGGAAGAACCTAGACTACTGGTTATTGTGCTCTATACACGATGTGCAGAGCTTCAATTCTCATCTGGAGTCGACTTTCATTTGTACATGTACAGTGTATGTGTGCGTGTGCGTGTGTGTTTCTAAGAAGAAAAGACCTCCAATGCAGCCACTCACACATTGCAGAGTCTCAACATTTGCACTTATTTCACTCCGCGGTTTGGCCATGCCTGGGAATTAGGTGAAAGTAAAAATGCTTTGCAGGACTGTATTTTCCGAACTGTTTTGAGCCTCCCCCCCCCCCCCCCGCGAAAAGGTGACAGCTGTCTTCGATGCATACCTGTCGTTAGTAATTTATGTTGGTTTTTACTGCTTTTCTCAATGCGTTGTGCTGTGTTCCCTTTCCTTGCAGGATACTGTGCACGCATCATCTCCAGTTTCTTGCCTCCGCTGATCATGTGCTGGTAATGGAGGACGGCCGTATTGCTCGTCAGGGTTTGCCGGCTGACGTTCTGCCGAAAGAAGTGTTGTCCGGTCAGATCGGTCGCGACCTTGAAGCAGAATCGGGAAAAGAGGCCAATGAAGCAGCTGAAGATGACTCAGTGAGTTTGGTGTTGACAACGTTCCAGTGCTGCTGCTGCTGCTGCTCCTATTTCTCCAGTGATACTCAATCTCTGGACAGTTTGCTGTTTCGACATTGTTAGGTCTCGTCAGCGGAGCTCAGAGTTACTGGCCAAACCAATTGCAATTTTGTTTAATGAACAGCGAAGCTTTTTTATATAGCAGTGGTATATAGTTTCTGTTGGGAAGTGCACCCATGCCTCGTTTATCCGCCTACACTCATCACATACTTGTGTGATCACAATACGAGGAAGAAGATTGAGACGACTACAGCAGACAATGAGTGTTCACCGCCGGTTGGCTTTGCCGCTTTTGCGGCTGACTTTGTCTCTCCGCAAAGTGGCGCCAAAAACCTGCTGCTGACTTTGTCTCTCCGCAAAGTGGCGCCAAAAACCTGCTGCTGGGTTGCGGTGTGGCGAGACCTGAGGCTTACTTAGTACTACTGGACATTTTTTTTGCGATTTGTATAGAGGACAAAGCGCATTTGTTCAACTCTAAGAGTGGAGGACTGTGGAGGTGTACACGGCATGTGCGTTTGTCAGATTCCGTTTGCTGCCATGGTTTGGAGGGAGTTAACATTCTAGTGCGAGAGCAAATCTCTGTGGCGTACTCTGTAGTGCTTCCTTGCCTATTGATTCAGTGCTTCCTTGCCTATTAGCTCTAACTGCAGTGTTTGTGTGGCTGCATCTGCTCACTCTGTTGTTTGGTTTGTGCAGGGCTGCGATGCCGAGGCTGGTACGTAATTATGTTTGAAGCAATATTCTGGACTGTAGCATAGCAGGCTGAGTGTTGTGCTTTCCGCATTTCCGTAACAATTTAAATACTTTTTTGTTGGAGAGTTGCCCTGTATTTAGAGCTTGTCACACGGTACCCTTATTATCACTGCAAGTATGTGAATAGTTTTCTGGGCGATGACTAGCGTCTATGCACTCCACACTCAGGACATGAATGGCGAGTAAAAGGGTGAATGAACCGGGCAATTGTTGTTCCGCCGCATACGTTATACACTGGGTAGCATGCAACTGTTACTTGTACCTGCCTCGTTTGGTGCACTTTGCTCAAGACAACTACTGTACTCTCCTGTGTTGTTTAGTAGTGTCTAATGCTGGGTACAACACTAGACTGGCAACGAGGGAGAGGAGATGCCTTCGCTATGTTGAACTCTGTGAAACAGGAGGTCTCAAACACCTCTTGCCCTGATGTTCGGAATTGACTATGAGCCTTTTACCTTTACCATAGTGCTAGCATCTAGGTTCTCTCTCTTCCCACTGTGACTTGCTTTACAGATGTTCTTGTGGAGGAGGAACGTCGAGAGAAAGGCGTTGTGTCCACCAGCGTTTACAAGTCCTATTGGAAGGCTGTTGGAAATGTCCTTGCCCCGGCCGTTCTGCTGTCGCTGTTCCTTATGCAAGGTGAGACTATCCACTAGCGAATGGGAGGTTGGCATTCCTAGTTTGAATGGATGTCTTGAGGTTGGAAGAAATCAACATGATAATGTTAGGTGCTGTGCTGCTACTACCGAGGACATTCTTCCTCAGTGCACAGCAGTGTACAAGACTAGTTGCCATGATAGTGGGTCTCTTGCGTTGTGCTGAAGTGTGTTGAATATGCTCCAATGGGCGTTGGAACCAAGCACATGTCCAGTGGGTTTCGTTTCGTCTCAAACTCATTTCGTTGCGGACTGCGAACGGTCTATTGTTCCTTACATGTATTGCTTTTGTGTGTTCTCTTGGTGTGTTGTGTTGCGGTGTTATGATAGCATCGCTCAATTTGTCCGACTGGTGGCTCTCCTACTGGATATCACACACAACCACCCTGCATCCCAACAGCACGTCGTACAACTCCAGCGGTGCCTACACGAATCATTCTGTGGACGCGCCGCTCTCGCAGCCGTGCACGTACAGCGCGTGGCAGTTGTTCGCCCTGTTGCCCATGCCAGCCTGCCATGAGTACGGGGTGCCTGTTGTGTACACCGACGGCGTACTCGGCAATGCGTCCAGCAATGCATCCAACTCATCGTCGGATCTTCGCTTCTATCTGACCGTCTATGGCTGTCTCGGCGGCGCAAACACGGTGAGTGCAGATGTGCCTCTTTAAGTTATGTACGTTTTTACTTAGAAGTGCAGTTCTGACCAGAGAAATCCAGTCTCATGAATATAGTAGCGCCGTGTTTGACTGCACAGACCAGTGTGTGTAGTGCTAGGACTGCGTAGTGCCCAGCGCTATTTTATTCATAAGGTTGGATTTCTCTGGCCAGTACGAGTCGTACTGTGTCTGTAAGTACTGTGTCTGTAAGTCTGTATGCCTGCAGGCGGCAGGGACTCCACCCTGATTACTCTCTATCCTTGTGCACCTTGAACAAGGCAGTATTTTTGTTCTGCATTGTCGTGGGCATATAGCTCAGTGGTAGAGCATTCGACTGCAGATCGAGAGGTCCTTGGTTCAACTCCGAGTGTGCCCTGGCTTTGTTTTTTTTGTTTTTTGGTCTTTTGGTGCACAATGCACTGTTTTGATCCGGGAGCAGTGAAATAAAGTAAAGTGTGTTACTACTCTCTGTTGGTAGCATACAATCATCACAAACTGGAAGAATGTACAGCTTGGTTTGCAAAGTGTAAAGCCTGGTTTGCACTGCCTACTAAAGATAAACCCCGTGTCCAGAGAAGAGTGGTGCATGTACATGCACTTCTGTTCCTCCCTTTCACCTTTCAGCGCTTTCAGCCCCGTGTCCATGCATTGCATGCCACTTTTTCAGCTGTGGGAGCGCCCCAGCCGAGAATTGTCGAACATACCATGATGGATGGGGGTGCTGGTCCTGTACTTCTCACCCTACTCACATTTGACATCTCTGCAGTACGCCACTGTTCCTGTGGTTTCGCGTGAGCATCCCATTATCATGGGCGTTCATGCACACAGTGTGGAAGTGGTCGACGCGGCTGTTGGTTGCTGCACCACAGTTGTGTCACATACGTGTATGAATCTCCAGTTTTTGAGAAACTCCATCGTGGATAGTCATCGTTTCTTTCACTATCCTTGGATGTTGGCAGCTCATCTCTTTCTCTGCGTGATTTACTTCACAATGCCCACACATTGTGATCCGTATTTTTCTTGTGTCTATTGGCGTTGCTTCTGCCTGCAGATGTTCACGCTGCTGCGTGCTTTCCTCTTTGCGTACGGCGGCGTCTGCGCAGCACGTGTGCTACACGACCGCTTGCTGCGTAGCATTCTCCATGCTCCGGTGTCCTTCTTTGACGTAACCCCGGTGAGTGTGACGGTGCAAATTGTCAAGCTAACTCTACGTGGTGTGAGGGATCTGAGGTCATAATTTAGAGAAAATGTCCTTGACTTCAATGGCAGTGCTGGCGGTTACATCCTCTTCTGCTGCCGGGGGCTTGAACGTTTCATTCAGGGATTTAGTGTGTAGCATGTAGTCTGCATGTTTTCAATGAACTTGTCTCATGGCCATTGCGCTGAATGATCAGCTCTTTATCTGCCGAGGGTTAATCACGGAGTTTTTTTTAAATCTGCTGTTGTGATATTTGCACCCGTTGAACCATACCTGCTGGAATCCTGATAATATGCCACTGGACGACTAGCATGCTATGATATCTACTCATGTGTTGCCAAAGCAGGCAAGTAGTTGTGTAGTTTAGGCAAGTGGTTCAAGAGTCGGGGAGCACTTGGCAATGTTTCTCTGGTAAAATCTATGAAAGTGAATCTCGTTTCCGATGTCACTTTCTGTGCATTTGTGCTGCGTAGGTGGGGCGAATGCTGAACCGCTTCTCCACGGACTGTGTAAGTTTCTTCTTTTGCAGCAGCTGGTACCGGCGACGCTCTGCTTTTTTGCATGTGCTTCCAAGACGTAGAGAGCATAAATTCTAGCCTTGCACTTTGTCTTGCATCACGTACGTACAGTGAAACCTCGGAATTCTGACCGCCTTTCGGATGAGGGGAAAGTGGATCTAATCTGTGAAAATAACTAAGCGGTATTCGCGCTTCAGGAGGAAAATTCTGGACCAAACAAAAGTGGTCGGATTGGCGGGGGGTGAGTTTAGTGGGGTAGTCGGAAAGTGAGGTTCTACTCTAGTGCCGTAGAATTGAGGCAGTTTTGAATTTTTGCTCTTTTTTCGTGTGCATGCTGTGCCCGGGAGATCAGTATGCTGGTTTTTTTGGTGTGTGAAAGATTACGTGCAGAACCAACCAACACTCATCGCAGGGTACCAGTACTTCAGTATTTGATGTGTGTGTGTGTGTGTGTGTGTGTGTGTGTGTGTGTGTGTGTGTGTGTGTGCGTGCGTGTGTGCGTGTGTGTGTGTGTGTGTTGCTGTTTGTTTAGTATTCGATCGACGATACGCTGCCCTTCCAGTTGAACATCCTGCTGGCGCAGCTCTTCGGCCTGCTGGGTACCATTGCCATAACGTGCTATGGCCTGCCCTGGTTCGCTCTGCTGCTTCTGCCACTCGCCGTCATCTACTACCGCGTGCAGCGATACTATAGACGTACATCTCGGTGAGTCTGCGTTGCTGCAAGTGTTGCTGGGGTGGAGGTATCGTTTTTCAATGATACTACATGAGAGTACATCTCACACATCATCGAGGTTTTGAGCATTTTTTTAAACAACACCGATGATTCGGGCTGAAGCGATTATACCGATAATTCACTTATCGATCTTTACGAGTGAAATCAACAATCGTTGGTGTGCACGGCCAGTGATAGCAAACTTTTAAAAAGTTGGTGGACAAGCCATTGGCTAGCTACTCTCATTGTAAAATAAGATCCTATTTTCAGACCAAGAGTGGTACATGTTTAGCAATTTTGTTTACCCAATGCTGTAGACAGCAAGCTGTTTCGGCTGTAAAGGCCTCATCAGTACAGCCACGAGCAATATGTTGATCCCCCTCTTCGTACTTGTATCCACTTTGCTTCTCCTTGCGCAGTGAGCTGAAACGTCTTAGCACCGTGACCCTGTCACCGGTCTATGGGCACTTCTCCGAGACGCTGGCCGGCCTGTCCACCATCCGCGCCATGCGTGCCGTGTTCTGCTTTGCTGAGGAGAACGAGCGACGCCTGGACGTCAACCAGCGGGCAAACTATACAGGTAGGGTGAGTAGACCGGCTAGGGTGAGTGGTGTGGTTGGTGTAGTTGGCAAGTGCCGCATTATCCAAGAGCACCGTTATTCGTTCGACAGGTATTCCAACTTCAAGTAAAATGCCAGCCAAGGCTACTACGTCTCTCTCTCTCTCTCTCTCTCTCTCTCTCTCTCTCTCTCTCTCTCTCTCTCTCTCTCTCTCTCTCTCTCTTCCTCCCTCCCTCTCCCTCATGGTGTGTCTATATGTATGTGTGTGCGTGTTCATATGTGGTCTAGGCTACGCCACTGCTGTGTGGTTGTCATTGCGCTTGCAGTTGTTAGGTGTGGCGATGGTGGCTGGTGTTGCATTCATAGCTGTGCTGGAGCATCACTACTGGACTGTGGATGCCGGTGAGTCTGTGTGTGTGTGTGTGTGTCCGTGTGTGTCCGTGTGCGTGTGTGTGTGTGTGTGTGTGTCCGTGTGTGTGTCCGTGTGTGTGTGTGTGTGTGTGTGTGTGTGTGTGTGTGTGTGTGTGTGTGTGAGTGTGTATGTATGTGAATGCTGATGTTTCTGAACTAGCTGGTCATTCAAACGTGTACATGTATTTGCATAGTCTGCGTGGATTATTTTGCTCTCCCAGCATAGCCGTGTTTCAGTGTGTTGCTGACTATGGTTGCATTGTGTGTGTGTGTGTGTGTGTGTGTGTGTGTGTGTGTGTGTGTGTTCGTTCAGGATTGGTTGGCCTTGCGGTGTCCTACGCACTGTCAGTGACCGGGCGTCTGAGCGGTGTGGTGCAGATGTTCACCGAGACGGAGAAGGAGATGATCAGCACCGAGCGTGTCATGCAGTATATCACCGGTGTGGGTGAGGAGAAACAGGTCGTGCGGCCCGCCACACGCGCCGTAAGTAATACCGTATGTCAGCGCCTTTAAAAAGTCATGGTCTTATATTTGAAACACCGCCTAGCTATTTTAGACGCAAAATGACTCACCCACTACGCCATGCCATAGAAGTCAAAGTCCACACAGAAATTTCAATCTACATCCACTTGTTCACCCTTCCTGCTGGGCTGTAAGTTTGTTAGCATAGTACTTATTCCTTCATTTTTACAAAAACCTACTTAAAATGTCATTTCACTTATGATGCCCATGGCTTTATAACTGAGACTGGCTTTATAATCGAATATACCTTCATGGCTTTAAAGGTGTGGACATACGGCACAGTAAAACTCTCCACATCTGTGCAGGTTGGAACCGAGCACTGCCCGTGACTAGCAATTGCCCGTAACTCAGAACTTACATACTACTTACTGTATGCAAGTAAGCATTTTCTTATGCCAATCAATAGTTATGTGTGTGTGTGTGTGTGTGTGTGTGTGTGTGTGAAGTGCTGAGAACGCTCTGTCCGCTCTGTCTGCTTTTGCTCCAGGTCCCTGACAGTTGGCCAGTGTGCGGTGCAATCACCATGGATGGCGTGCAACTAACTTACAGGTATGTACTGAGTGAGTGGGGGCCTGGAAGCCCCCAGCTGATGCGTTTTCTTTTCTTATCCTACTGATATTTGGCTATAATGATGTGGCAACACCGACTGTCTCAGTCTGCATTTTTTGTGTATGTGTGTGTTGGGGGGGGGGGGGGGGGGGCGGGCGATAGCATTTGCATCGCACTACATCCTACGTGTAGAATTCCTTGTGTGCGTATTAGCAGTCTCCTGCTGTGCTCTTTTTGCTGTGTCAGACGGGGTCTTCCTCCTGCGTTGCGTGGCGTTTCATTCACTTGCCAGGCTGGTGAAAAGGTATGCTGCATGCGCTACCGTTCCTTATGGGAGAGACGGTCGCGGGGCGGGGGTCTTTCTATGCATGTTTAGTCTTGCACACCGTTCTCAAGAGTGGTTATCCTCCCCAGAGCGTTCTACCGTGCCTAGGGTACCCCACTGGTGAGCTTATACCTAGTCAACAAGTGCTGCAAGTACTTTTGTGCTACATGTATGCCTTGATGTGCAGGTCGAATGTGCCACACGGGTTTGGTCCACTTTTCTTAGCAAAGTTCTTTTGTTATTACTATACTCTCGTGCTCACAAAATACCTTTTCTTGATCTCATACTGCCCTGAAAATAGTTACTGTATAAGCAGAAATATTTGTCTGGAATTTAATTTCGTCTTTTTCGTCCAAGGAGCGTTTGGACTAAATTAAATGCCGGACGAATGTCGATTTGTCCAGCTTTTCAATACGCTCTCATGATCCATGGACGGAATTTACAGCCGGACGAACTCCCTTTCTTTGGAGTTGGACGAAATTATTGACCGACGAAATTTTCTGCCTGTGCAGTATGCCTTTCATGTCAGGGTGACTCCGTTTGTCTGGCTGCTGCTATATTCCTTTGCTGGTTGCACCCCCCCCCCCCCCCCCCCCCACATCCCTTTTTCACTCCCTGTGTTTGTGTATGTTCCTTTCTTGATGGTCAGATTGGCATTGTGGGTAGAACTGGTTCAGGCAAGAGCAGCCTGTTTCAAGTCCTCTTCCGTATGGTCACCTATGAAGGGGGCCGGGTGACTATTGACAATGTTGACACGGCATCGGTACCACTCTCTCGGCTAAGGTGAGTGCTATAATAATGCATCATAGCATGCGTCTCCGGCAAGAACGTTTCAAGTGATTCAAGATGGGAGTCGTGTCACATTGCTGAGCTGGCCTAGTGCAGTGGATGTACTGAGACTTGATTCTTGGTATCCCTTCTCTGTTTCTGATGGGGATTGTATGAAGTTGAATTTCAGAACTCTAGGCTGTGGACCTGTCTTCAAATTTGGCATATACCTGGTAGCAGTTGTGTTCTGCACTGATTTCGAGATACTCCTGTGGTTGTGTTTCTTGTACATTTCTCCCCTGCTGTGGCTCTTTCAGGTCGTCTCTGGCAATCATTCCACAGGACCCTTTTCTGTTCAGCGGTTCAGTTCGCCACAACCTCGACCCCGCACATACGGTTAGCTTTGTTTTGAGGCTGTTGACATGTGTGCTCATTGCCGTTCAGAGCTTTGGCTAGTAGTAGTAGTAGAAGTAGTAGTAGTAGTAGTTTTTTTATTATTTTACTAGGGGAGTCCCAACAGGCTACTGCCCTTTTACTGGGAACCCTAGGTGAAGTTTAACCATGTTAGTGAACAGAGCAAGAGAGTGGGCCTGTCGACAGTCAGCTGTAAGAGAGTTCCATCTGCCTGCCGCCAGAAAAGAAAAAGAGCGCATGCCATACTGTGTATAAGCTAAAGCTGTATGTACAGTCAACTTCGCTAATAACGACTGCGGATATAACGACAATTCGCGAATAATATAACGACGAAATTCCCATTCCCAGAGCAAAATCCCATCCAACTGCGCTACATATAATAAGACTTCGGGTATAACAACACTTCGCGAATAAGGACTCTTTTCTGATGCCCCCGCCGAGTGTCGTTACAAGCGAAGTTGACTGTACTGTATGAATGCTGCTGTGTGAATGCTGTGATGTAATGAGTACATCAGTGTGGTCATAGTTTTAATTTAAGTCCACACATAAGTTGGAGGTTGGTGGCCATTGGGCAGTTCGGGGGAAACCTACAAGTACGTGACCAGTTCCTTGCAGTGAGCAAGTTGAAGTACAAGTGCAAGTGTGTCTGTGCGTCTGTGTGTTTTCAGTGTGAAGATGATCAGCTTCATGCAGCGTTGCAACAATGTCATTTGAAGGACGCAGTGGAGCGGTTAGGTACGTGTGACATAACTCTTCCTCTAGTGCACGAACTGCGCTGTTTCAGATCTGATATGCACAGTTGCACACTCTGGTTTATGTACTCTTGGTATCTAGGGTACATGTACTTTGAAGTACAGTATATCCGATTAGAAATGAAGGCATGCTATGTCCAGGGTACGTGTACATTATAAAACAGTTTATACTGAAATTGTTACTGTACCTGCCACGGGTAATCATGGATCGCGTCATTATCAGCTCGTGTAAGTTATTCCTGTTCCTCGGTGTGTTTGTGTGAGTTATTCCTGTTCATCGGTGTGTTTGTGTGAGTTATTCCTGTTCATCGGTGTGTTTGTGTGAGTTGTTCCTGTTCCTCGGTGTGTTTTTGTGAGTTGTTCCTGTTCCTCGGTGTGTTTGTGTAAGTTGTTCCTGTTCCTCGGTGTGTTTGTGTAAGTTGTTCCTGTTCCTCGGTGTGTTTGTGTAAGTTGTTCCTGTTCCTCGGTGTGTTTGTGTAAGTTGTTCCTGTTCCTCGGTGTGTTTGTGTAAGTTGTTCCTGTTCCTCGGTGTGTTTGTGTAAGTTGTTCCTGTTCCTCGGTGTGTTTGTGTAAGTTGTTCCTGTTCCTCGGTGTGTTGGTGTGTTGGTGTGAGTTACACTTATGCGCTGCATACCTCGGTTTTCCGGACCCCGGAGTTACGGGCACTTCGGTCTACCAGGTACCCGTCGGACGAGTTTCAGTTATTCCCGTGCCTCTGTGTGTGTTTGTGTGTGCGTGTCCGTCTGTGCACTGCTGCAGGTGGACTGGGCGGTGAGGTGGGCGAGTCTGGACGGCACTTCTCCGCCGGCCAACGGCAGCTGGTCTGCTTGGCGCGGGCTCTGCTGACCGGGTGCAAGGTAAGCCGGACATGTTGCATTTTACGCTCGGTGGGTATTTCCCCTGAGCGTTGACATGCTTGACATTATTATGCCTTCTTGTTCCTGCGTATTTGCTACCTTGAGTTTCAAAACTTAAAGTATCCAATAGCGTGACTTCGTTACTATCTTTATGTCATCAGCTGAGTTGTTTCCGTTGGCTGCTGATAGTGAACAGTGTATGCCGGAGCTGTGTCTCTCGGGTCTGGTGCTGGCACTTTCTTCGTGTCGCTCTATACTAACGACATATCATGATCACACTTGAGCGCATGCGCTAGCAGCTTTCCCATCAAGGCGTTCTTTTTGAGAGATTGGCCTCTGGCTGTAGTTGGACAATAGATCCATTGGTGACTGGCGTGTGTGCTGTTTTTTATTTTTTTTATTTTTACCAATGATGTCCTTGTTGGAAATACAGTCCTTGCTGTTTACGTCAGCCTCCTTTTGGATGAAAGGGAATGTTGAGAAATAGCTCTCTCGGCTCTGGGCTGTGTGCGCTTGGATGACTACGAACTGTTACTTCCGACAGACAGTTATTTCTGAATGAAAAATAAATAAATATCCTTGTACTTGAAGTATGAAATGCTGCACATCATGTGTGTTCCCCTCTCCTGTCTGACCTGGATACTAGGATATCAATACATTACAGTCGTTGTACAGTCAGACCTCACTTATCCGGTCCTCTTTTATCCGGATCCCTCGCCATCCGGAAGAAAATCGTTGGTTACCGATTTACAGCACATGCCATGCATACATACAGTATGTGTGGTCGATTACCCGGTTCCCTCGCTTATCCGGATATTTTTGTGGAAAACGGATGTGTGTGGTTATGCGAGGTCTGACTGTACTAATGTGTGCCCCCCCCCCCCCCCCCGTCTCTCTTGTCTGACCTGTAGATACTATGTATTGATGAAGCTACAGCCAGTGTGGACATGGACACAGACGCACAGATACAGGTGACTCTACGCGATGCATTCCCGGCGACGACAGTCCTCACCATAGCACATAGGTCAGTGCTAACGTGTGTGTGCACGTGTGTGTGTGTGTGTGCGTTTGTGTGTACATGTGTGTGTGGTGCGTGTGTGTGTGTGTGAGTGTGTGTGTGCGTGTGTGTGCGTGTGTGTGCGTGTGTGTGTCCGGGAGTCATAGGGCTGGCCCCACCTGGACATGCACTGCATGAAGAATGTGTTTGATGCAGTAGCCATCATTTGACACATTTCCAGGCCAATTTGTACACCAGTTTGCACCTGCGCTGCTCCACCTGCTACCGGTGTTTCTAACAGCGGGTCAAGTGTACAGTCGAGTGTACAGTCGAGTGTACAGCCAAGTGTACGGTCAAGTGTACGGTCAAGTGTACAGTCGAGTGTACAGTCGAGTATACAGTCGAGTGTACAGTCAAGTGTACGGTCAAGTGTACACCTACAGTTGCGCTCACTGAAATCCGACCCAGTGTGCAAAGCTGGCGCCCTCAACTTGCACGGCTCTTGACGCCCTAGCAGTGGAATGAATGCGGCTGGACGTACACATGTGCACCCACAATGATGTAATCGGAACCGGACCGGATCAAACCGGACCAACTTCGCCCGCCTTCCGGCGGACCCGTGAGTGAATGTATCACTTTGCTCGAAATGAAAGTTCTGCTGTGCGAGTATTGATGCCGGACTTTTTTTGGCTGAAAGAAGCTGAAAGACGCTCAGCGGAAAAGCTGTGGAATTCAGCCGTTACCATGGAAAAGGCGGGAATATTCCGCACGTCTTCGGCTGAATTGCTGAAAACTGTGCAGTGTGACCGCGGCCTAAGGGTGGTACGGTCAGCCATCTGAAGTGCAATTTACCCGTGGGGGTGCTTCCGCTGAAAAACTTCAGAATTTAGAGCCCATATCAGTGCATTTTAATTTTTATTGATTCACGGGGTACTGTAGAACGGGTAATTTTAGCGACTATTAATTTTAGCGTTTTCCCATTGTCGACCGGTTTAATAGCGACGTTTTATTTTAGCGATTTGCAGCGATTTTACTCACGGATCACCAGTGCACTACTAATGTCTCAACGGATTAGCGACTTGAAACTTTAGCGAAAATGAGTCGATCGCTAAATTCGCTAGGGTTTTACGTCGCTAAAATTACCCGTTCTACAGTACCCGGGGTAAAGAGTGGTACAGTCAATGACGTGACCGTAACGTGTCCGGTCCTCTTGGTATGACACGTAGCCGACAAGTTTCAACAGGCAAACAAGACAACCAGTGCAGATGAGAATCACACAATGAACGAGTGAGTGAAGCGATCCAGGAACCCAGAGCCTGCCCAACACAGGTAAAGCATGGCGAACACTGAACAGTGTCTATGCCAGATAAGGGGTGCTGTGCACACGCTGGCGTGGCTGAGGCCGGAAAGTGAGTTTCATCTCAAGATTCCATCATCATTGCTGGTGTCTTAAAATACTGATTTTTTTTTTAAACACCAGCCATATGGATGGGACCTCTGTGAGTAAGATGCTCACAACGGTACTTGCCAAGAAGTAAGCTGAAATGCCTATGGGTACCTAGGCGCACGATGACTGGGACCAAAAGTGCTTCATGCACGCTTTTAGCAATCTATTAGCCATTCAACAATATCAATATAATATTCAACAATATCAAGTATTAGTTCAACATTCACTGATGAGATCACAAGATCGAAACAGCTGTGTGAAGGAACTGAGTACCAACGGAAGTGTCGCTTTGCTGATTGTGTGCTGTGGCAATGTGTCGAGGTCGGCTGGAGCCGGGAGAGCCCATTTGTGGTGCAGCAGTGGTTGATGTGAAATAACCTGCACTCAAGTTCTGTAGAATACTAATTTTTATTTTTTACTTATGCCGTAGTTTAGTTCACCTAGTCTATGCATTGACACAGTACATGCATAAGTGCATAGGTATGAGCAGAGTCTCCCGCCGATCGAAGAGTGCTCAGCTCCGTGAGGTGGAGCTCGTACATGCATAAGTGCATAAGCATGAGCAGAGTCTCCCGCCGATCGAAGAGTGCTTTCGGAATCGGTAACAGTGTATTACTGAGACCTCTAGAGTCCGCTCTGAAGTAGCACAAGGGACAAAGGCCGACACCAGGACTCAGGTATGGCCTATGCAAATCGTAGCCAAGTGCAAAAGCCTAAACTGGCCAGCGTCAGAGTGCTAAATCAAAGTACATCGACCAGTAAAGGGAAAGAAAGGAAATATTTGTATCAGTCTCAATCTGGGTTAGGATTGGTGGTTTCACAAAGTTAAAATTAATATCTTTTAGAACGAGGTCTGTGTCGTTGTCCAGGAAACGACCAATCAGCGACATTCCCGCCAAGGGCCTTATCAGAGTTTAAAGCCCGCTCAATCGTTATTTTACTACTCTTGATGACGCGTCGAGGGCCTTGGATTAGTTTAAAGCCCGCTGAATATACTATAAACTGGTGCGTATAACTCCCTGTATGCATAATAGTACGGTGCAGAAAATGAACTCTGCATAAATGTACGGTGTACTACTAAAAGCTACGCATTTCAGAAGTGTGTACGTTTTTGCCTCCCGTATTCTTTCATCTGTACGAATTTCCTTTGTCAACAGCTTGCGGAAACCTATAAAAACCGAAGATCAAAGTCATTAGAGGTATCGACAAGGGGCTCTCAAAGCCCCTAAATAGCTCCACAAGCTATGAATAAGAATGAAGCTCGCAATAAGAGCCCAGCATTTCATTTGCTTCTATTCTACTTTTAGTAGTCCTAAGTGGTGCTGAGTTACCATAACTTACCAGAAGAAAATATTCTTTCATGCCACACCAAGTCTCTCTGCACACAAACCACAAAACTACCCAATATAATGGTACACAAGCATAATGGAAGTGAGATAATGCTTGTAACCTCGTTCTAAAATAGTTAGTGCATGGCAGGGAGGGTCTTATGGCTTGTTTGTGCCCTTCAGGGTAGCCCTCGGGCCTACGGCCCTCAGGCTAACCTGTCGGGCACTAACAAGCCATAAGTCCCTCCCTGCCATGCACTAACCTATAATTAAAATATCATTATTCAAGTCTCTTGGCTGTTGAACATGACAACGCAGCAGATGTCCATCTACATGTTAAGGACAGTTCTTAGTATTTTTACCGAACCTTGGATAGCCTTCTGTTGCACAATAGCCAGGTTTCCTCCCTGCACAGTCCGAAGGCATTGAGGAGTCTCTCTCACCAAGCCTCCCAGGGCGCCGACAACCACAGGGACCACGTCAACCTGGTTGAGGGACCAAATTCCGGAAAGCTCCCGCTTCGAGTCGTAATATTTTGAGCGCTTTTCAGCCATTTTCTTATTGATGTTGTTATCACCAGGGACGCTGACGTCTATGATGTATGCGATGCGCTCCTTGTCATCAACAAGGAGCATATCAGGCCTGTTTGCTGATAGTTTTAAGTCAGTTGGGACCGAATACTCCCAATAGAGCCGATACCGATCACTTTTGACCAGTGCCTTGAGCTGGTGGTCGAATCGTGACGCACCAGTAGGTAGATCCCGTGCTCTACACATTTCGAAGTGCACATACTTGACTATCCGATTATGACGTTCGATGTAACTGGTCCGAGCAAGAACTGCGCAGGCACTGACAATATGGTCAATTGTTTCTAAGCAGGTCTTGCAAAGCCTGCAATTGGCATCAGTTCGAGCAATTGACTTCATTATGGCGTATTGGTAATTTTTAGTTTTGAGGGATTGGTCTTGTGCTGCCATAATCATGCCTTCAGTTGAAGGTTTCAGTGTCCTGGATTTCAACCACATGAAGGTAAGCTCCTTATCTAGGCAATTTTCCTCCAAGCGGCTCCAATATCTCCCATGCAGCGGCATAGTGGAAAGTGTTTTGGATTTTCGCATTGCGCACGCTTGTTTGACGGTATGCTTATTGGGTAAAGCTGGTCCAGCTGCTGGCAGATCCAAACTCGACAGGAACTTAGCGGCCTTTGCAGTTATTGAGTGGCTTTTTGTTGTAGGTTTTTCTTTATGATACTGATAAAGCAGGCTTATTCTGTCTATTGGGCTGGTACTCATGTAGCGGGCCAGGCCATACATGCTCCGGCCGTGCATATCCTCACAAAAGACCAAGCCCCGGCCTCCATCTCCCCTCTACATGTAGAGCCTGTTATTATTACAGTAAAACCTGGCGTAAGCGACCGCTGTGTTTGGCGACCACCTGCTCTTAACGACCGTTTTTCCATGCACGGACAGTTCTACACAGACACTGTGGGACCTGGTTTTAAAGACCGCCTGGCTTTAACGACCGCTTTTGCTTGCACCGTGGGGTGGTCCCTTAAACCAGGTTTTACTGTATTATTATTATTTTTTTTAAAGAGGTCGGAGGCGGGTAATACTTTACAAAACAAAGGTAAGTTTTGGGTCGCAAGTATCCACGCAAACACACATCCAGGCAAATAAGGCACTTGTCAAAAGTATCCGAACGTTTTCGGTCCCTTCTCATCAAGGATTGTACAGGGAATGGCTCAAGTTGGAAAGACTAAACAGAAGCTTTCAGTTGTCACCAGGGAGTCGTAAAATACGTATTTTACGACTCCCTGGTTGTCACTTGTAGTATGTTCCCCAAGTTCTTTGACTGAGAATCTGACAGTTTGGGTTCAAATCCCAACGTTTGGCTTCAGATTTTTCTTCTTTCAGTTCTGATTTTTTTTCTAAGTTGAGGAAAAAGTTCTAAGTTCTCGGGTGAAGTGGTCAATAATAAGTGGTCAATATAAGCGGTCAATATATGCTGGTATTTGACCGCTTAGGCCGTCATCACACCACGTTCTCCGACTCCCGTTTACGTCTACGTCTATGGTGAAAAAACCAAAACGGATGGTCGTGTCATCAGACAAGCACAGTTCTTGACGCGTACACGCAGTCAGGTTTTTGGAGAAATTTGAACCCGCGTACATCGAAGTACAGGGTCACTCGGAAAAAGGCTGGGGGAGATACGCACGTTCATACAAAAAGTCGTATACCCCCCCCCCCCCCCTC